CCTCAACAACTATTGTTGGAGGTACGCCTTTGTAACGCTTTTCACTTATAACTTACAATGGTTGGACCGTTTGATTGCAGTATCTCGGTATCTCAGGTATGCTGCATTCAATATTGTAAAGAATGTCATGAGTCATAATATCGTATCATCATATCGATGCAACACCTTGCATCATCATACCAAATCATTGCCATTGCTATTTGACACACAAATATTCAGATAAACAAAATGATGTCAGCTGTCAGACTTCCCAGAACCATTCCAACGTTCCAACCATCAAAGGATATCAACAGCAACATCGATACTTTGATTTTTTGGCTAGTTGATGACAAGTTCAGCAAACATGTCCTGATGGCTCCAACAATATGGCGCAATACAAAAGGATGTTTGTTAAAATGATTTAATGGTTTAACCACAAACAATGCCACCTCAAAGGTAGTGATGTTGTTGCATTCACTGCTCCACCCTTTGTTACTTGTACGGCCCACCTAGATCACATCTTCTCCTAAGCAGACCCTAAGGATCCCCTAAAATGGCCTGAGTTACCACCAATATGATTGTGCTTTTTTAGTATGTGGTTTATGAAGGGGGGGCAGTTTTGAACTGTTAGTGGGCGGGGGCAGACCTCAAAGTATACTATACTATAACTGATACTCTTACGTTGCTCACCTATGCTTTATCATTAAATCTCCCTAGATGATGAGAATGGTGGCATGACCCTTCCACCCGCAACGCCACCTCAAAGTCGTGCTTAGAGCCAGAGAGGAAGATGTTCCTGGCAGGACATCTTACGGGCCGAGGCGTGCTGAGTCATGGCTTTAAAACTCAGCAACTAATATGTGCAGATTCAATCAAGAAAAAGATCGAGCTCATGGGTCTAAATTTGGTCTAAATGAACACTACCCAATGCGCACCGCAAAGTGCACCAACATATAGCCCTTTTGATTTGCACATTGCACTTAAGATGGGATTCACTGACCCCATATATAGTCATATATGACAGTAGAATCAAGGCCACATTGGGATTCAACGTTTCCATCAGTTCCAGACAGAGGTGTACCATCTCCCTGCAGCAAAAAGGTTGGATGCTCCCACTGATTGGTGGAATCCCTGCTCTCAGTTTTCCTGACAACTTCCCTGTAATTTTCCCAGTCACCCCTAATAGTAGGTCTCTCAACCCAACGCTTTTTTGCAACACAGCGGGATAAATCGATCAGCAGTGTCAAAATCGAAGGTCCCAAGTCCGATTGTGGTGGTATCGCACTCAAAACTCTGAAATCTGTGGGTACTTATGCACATACACAAGTATACAAGATGTACATCTCAAAGAATCAATATCTATGTACATTATAATCAATGTACACATGAAAAATATGTGTATACATGTATATACATATATATATATACATATCTATATATATCCATATAAATATTATTTGTATATCACATAAATGTTTTGCCACCTTTGCGTCCACCATCACTTGGGATCTTCACATCTGACACCATCAGTTCGCCGCCAGGCGCGACAGCTCGCGGCACTCGTAGCTGATCTGTCGCAGGAAGCCACGCAGCAAGGCTTGGGCGAAGGGCGGATCGTTGCTCAGCAGCGCCTGGTATTTGTTCCTCGGATTTTCAATGGATTTTCGCCATCAATGGAGCACCAAAATGGGAGCAGGTTGGATGTTTTTGTTAACTCTGGTGTCAAACAAATGGTAAGATTTGTTATGGCGGTTCTATTTATTTACATATTAAACATTGTTAAACAACGATTTCCAGATTCTGAAAGAATCCCAGTTGCCACAGCTACGATCAAATCAGGGTTCCCCTTGGCGCAGCTCCAGTGCTGCAGAGCATCTTCTCCAGAACCAGCAGTCGACAGGCACCTTCATCCTCAGGATGTACCAATGGCAGGTGGATGTTTATTCCCCCAAAGAGGAAAGAACTGGTAACTTGACCAAAACCCCCAGAGTTCCTTCAGAAGTGTTAAAAATTGGGAGTTGATCAACAGTCTATAGAAGCCACTTAAATCCATCGTATCATGTCCCAAAATGTGTTTCTGAAAATGTGTGCTGTGATGTTCTCTTTGTTTTAATTGACCAGTAGGAGAAGCAACCGCTTCATGAGGTGCACTAGGTTTCTAGTCGCCCAGCAACATTGGTGCGAAGCGGGTCATGAAGCGAGGACAAAAAAACAGGGTTGAGAAAACCCTTCTGGTTGTGAAAATGATGCTAGCCCTGTGATTATGTTATACATCCAGCCAGAATTTATGTGTTTTAATGTGATATCCCCAATACTGTTGGATACTTCTTGTGTTTTTCCTGTTGGTGATGTGCCCGTGGTGGATATGTTTCCATTGGATTCTATTCTTTGCCTCCAAGAGTTTGGTTGGTTTTATCATATCGGGTAGTGATGTCCCTGCTTTCTTGGTTGAATACCTCTGTGGCTGGTTTTTGGCATCTTACTTCCGCATATTTGGGCGGTTCAATCCCTACAGGGCCCTTGCCCTGATATATATATATATGTATATATTTGAAGTTGATATGTAATTTGTATACAATATGTGTACATAAATATGTATGTGTATATATATGTATATGTGTATGTGTATATATTTATATGACTCGTTCCGCCATCATTTTGTCGGCCAGGTGATGTTCATACATAAATACTACATGTATATTATATGTTATAGAGTCTATATAGAGTAACGAGTGTTGTTGGCTATGGACGCCACGACCTTCGTCTCCTGGCCTCGTCTTCGGCCTCCTCGGGCACCAGCACCGTCTGTTCGTAGGGGAAGTGGTTCAGCATCGCCAGGAAACCGATGAAATCTCCGGGGCCAGCGATGCCTTCGGCGGCATCGGCGTTTCAACGGCTTTTCAATGGTAAAAACGGTAAAAACCTGGGCATTTCTGGTGGTTTTTTATGCGAAAAAAAAACACAGAAATGGCTAAGACATTGAGTAATACCTAGTTTTTGTTTGCCATTCAATACATTGAAAGCATCATAGTAGCTCCAATGCTGTGAGTAAGCTATTATATAAGATAGAATTGTGCTAATGTGTCTTCATAATTGTATGGTATCCTAAGGTGAAACGGCGCCCCAGCCAACCAGATTAATAATGATGAAATGGTGAACCATGGATCTGATGTGGCTACCACAAATGGTCGATGGTTAATGATTGTGATTAATTGGAGCTTTTATCACAAAAGGTGTGTGGTCAATAGCTGGGTTGTATGAGTATGTAATGGCATAGGAATGTATGGCAATAACCCCGAAACCAAGTACGCTCTCCTTTTTCTGGTACGGTTCTTTCAATATTGGGTGAGTTCAGAACATTCACAATATCTTGAGATGTGCTGATCTCAACCTATCTTCTTCTCAAATGTTCGCCTCGCATTTATCAGCTCAATAGCTAGCTGCACCCTGGCCCTGCATCTTAGAAGATCCACAGCAAACCTCTCAGTTCTACTGTAGATTTTTTTCCACCCGCCAATTTGGGGAAAGATTGGAACCTTTCAATCCATTTTCAATCCATTCCCCATGTGAAACTTCCGCAGGATCCCAACGCACTCCTCCGGGTCCGAGTGGCAGGCCAGTCGATCTGCACTTCCCGCCTTGCGACTGGGCTGCATCCCATGCAGCGTGCCCTCCAAGACGCAGACGCAGTAGGAGCACTCGTCTCCCGCACGCCACAGCACGGCACCCGCCGCCACCTGTGAAAGCTACGGCTCCAACAGCCACTGGACCCACTGGAATTCAAGGTCAATGAGGTCAATGACTCAATGACCAGAGACATAGATGTTTGATCATCTTTGGAGATCGACCTGCAAAAATTCAAAGTCACTGCAAACAAGCTGCTGTTTTCTTGGAAAAAATGGAGAGCGTTGTCTCCAGACTGGTGTTTTCAGGCAAGAAGTCGCCAAAGTACCTCCGTGGCCGAACGTTGAGTGTTGCCCTCCAATTTTGGCCAGTGATTCAGTGATTGATTATCCGATTATCCACTCAGTAGGGAAAAAGATGCTATGAATGCTATGTTCTTGGCGCAAGTCAAATCTGGATCAGAACAGTTTCCCAGGGAAAGCGGCGGTAGAAACTCCTCAGCCCCATCCCCCAGTCGTCTCCCGCGTTGGGCGTGCAGTTCCACTTGCTGAGTGGATATGTGTCACTATACTACTATACAAATTATATCCCAACTTATGGGAGTGAACTGTACCTCCAAGTAGCTTTTTCCATCATTCATAAAACATTCATACATAGTTCATTCAATTTCCTACTAAAGTAGCTTTCCATTCCAATTTCTATGTTTTCCCCAGTTTTCCCACCCCACCCGGCCTCTTGAGCACGTCCCGCACAAAGGCCTCCTCCGAGCCCATCGACGCGGCCTGCGACTTGCTTGGCATCCGCAGCCCGATGCGCGACAGCACGCCGTCCTCGCAGCGCTGCAGGGCGCGTTGGTAGTGCGCCTGGTAGAAGAGACCGCACGACACGGTCCTGGCGATGAGGGAATCGCCACAGCAGTTGGTTTCGACGATGCTTTGTGGATGTTTGCAGTTAATGGTGTTGATCCCATCCTGGGAGATTCTGATCCATCGAGCGAGTCGAACATCACCATGGAAAAGGCGATGCATATGGAAAGATGTCCAAAGGGACGTGCGCGGACATGTGGACATATGCGATGATAGGGAATCCTCAACTTTTGTAAACACCCAAATATAAACCTTCTAGCTGATGTTGCAATATGCTCATTGATGTTGGCGATATCCCCGTTTTTTGCTGACTCCAAAACCATTCATATTGGCTCCGTTCCTTTTTTTGATGGCCACATCCACTTGTTGGCAGCAACGGGGTTATGTGCCTGAAATTCTGGACAGCAATCGACACTGCAAGTTGGGCCTTTTTGGTGTTCAACCATGCATTTTTGTAGTCAAACTATGAGTCATGGTCCATCATTCTGTGGACTGCTGGAGCTACTTGGGGTTCTGGTGTTATTTGTCATATACACATGCATATGTGCTGAAATAATAGTCTCAGTGTGCAGATGAATAGTAATATAACAACGGTAATGACGACAATATCATCTATACATACATACATATATATATATTATACGATATATATATATAATCCCCCTTGATTTAAGGGGAGAACCCTTACCCCACAATTCTATAAAAATCTGGTTGATGTAATGGCTGGGTGCGGGTATATGTTTATAGAATGGATACTTTTTTGGTTTATATAATGGGAGACCATTATTGTGCTACCTAGCAGACTGGATATGCAAAAACATGTTTTCCCAGTATGTTCTGGAACGACGCAAAAATTAGATGTTGAAACAAAGTAAATTTGATTTATATGTTATGGAACGGGCCGCATCTTGAGGGGGACATTTTGAGATACCTTCAGATGGAAGGCTATATCCTGGAAGGCTATATCCTGGACACATCAACACTGACCAAATCCAACCTTCCAACTTTTATACCATGGTAACCATAGTCCGGACCGCATATATGTGTTTAAAACATTTATATTTTGGAAACACCGATTTTGGGCCTAATGAATCCAAGGAAAAATGTAGCTTTATGTACTGGAATGGGCTCCCCTTTTTATGAAATGGATGGCCCAACAGAGTACCAAAATTTACGGGCTTTTGTTAATTTTCCCAAAAAGTGGTTTGACCCTGGGTTTTCCATTTTATACGGTACATGGGTTGTTCCATTCCATTGGGCTTCAATCAAGGGGGATTATATATGATATTCCATCCCCTGCCCCCTGGCGGCTCCTCCCGGGCCCCGGTCGCGGCAGCTGTTGCATTTCCACCCGCGTTGTACGCAGCACGTCTTGGACGCATCGGTTGAGCTCCGTCAGAACCAGGCGCCTGGCAGGTCTGAATGGGATGAATGGCTGAGATCTCAGGGATTTCATGGGCAATTTACCCCAAGTACCATGGCGCCTGTGTTGGAAAGTACAGATGGATTCAACCGCCAAAAAATGGGCTAAACAAATGACCAACGGATATTGATGGATCCAAAAACAGTTGATGATATATAGTACACCTATACAAATGGTCGGTCCTTTTAAGAGGGAAGATGATATATAAGTGTTCAGGATCAGTTCTGTGGGTGTGTCCTTTAAAATTAGAGGGTTAACAAGCCAAAATGAGCATTCAAGAATCAAGAAGAGGGATTTCACCAACGATGAATATATAACGCAAATGGATTTGTCCCAAAAATGGGGGATACTCCAATGCATGGCAAGTTTCATAGGGCAATCATCAACAACATGAGATTTTAGGGTACCCTATGTTCAGACACAGCCATATTGGGGGCTAGACGGCTAGACCAATCTTTGGGGGATCAATGTATTGAATTTGATATATAATTTGCAAATTAGTGATTTTTTTCAGATGTTCCATTAATTTACATGTCCGAACAATTTGGAATTTTTCCATGGCCCCAAAATTACAGACCTCCACCAAAAGAAATGCCACCAAAAGTGCCCCACCAACCTCCAAATCAATCCAGCGCACCTGCCACATTCCTTGGCCTTTCGGCCCAGCAACGCTAGCTCCAGGGCAGCGGAATAGTCCAGGCTCTGGCGGAAAAAAACATGGAAAATCCATGAAAATCCCCCAAAAAATGGAAGTTTCGCTGGGAAAACCATTGTTTTTATGGCCTATGGCCATTTGGGATCAAAAAGTCGCCTGCACCGCTTGAAAGTTCAGCAGGATCCATTCAGGCCCACCTGCACAAGATGATGAGGATAGTGACTATCCGGTTGAGAGGGTAAACCTACGGTAAACCCATTTGGCAGTGTGTCAAAACCTTGTACCCCTGGTAAACATCAAAATAGCTGGTAAATGGATGTTCATCCCACTAAAAATGTATCTATAGGTATTGATCCATACCCATTTTGAGCCCAAAATGTCAAACTTTGGTCAAGCGGCCTTTTCCCATGAGTTCTCGAACCTCAGTTTGGAAAAAGTTGCAGGACCGCAGAATGGCATGGCCCAGCTGAGTGTCCCTCTGTACCCCCGAATAAGTGTCAACCAATCCATGTTTTTCCGGTTGGCTCCCAGACGGATACACAGGTTGTGTACCAAAAAACTTTTTTTTTTGTCGGCACTGATCCAAGCAACCGCATCAGTGAAGGCAGGCGTGGAGCCAAACATCAAGAAGCCATCCACATGGACCACCGCGATCAAATGCCCCAACTTTTCCAGTGCTTCGTGTTCAAAGCCATCGCGGGTGCAAATGGAGCGGTAGAAACCTGGGATGATTGGCCACAGAATACAACTAGTGAAGCCTAAAGCAATGCACGGATACAGATACAGACATACACATGCAGATACATACATATCAACATATACCTATATGATATATATATATATACAGTATATATATATATGAGCATATACAGGTATATGCATGTATATGCAATATTATCATATATTTGACATCTATAAAATTGCATACTCTTCAACAGAATCTCGGTCCGAAAAGGCCCGCCGTTGCTACCCAAGCCACGTGCGTCTCCTGCGGTCTTCACGCCCGCCTGGGTGCCACTGTAGCGCAGCGTGAAAAACGTCATGGCCAGCAGGGTCCCCAGCATCAACCCATCGTTGAAGCTGTAGAACTTCACCACCAAGGCCATGGCGGCCACGGTGAAAACATCTGAGATGTGGGTGTACCTTGGGAGCTGAGGCTGCTGATTGGGGGCATCAACGGACCAAAAAATTGGATGACCAATCAAGTGGGAAGCTGTTGAGAAACAGATGCAGAAGTGATTCCAAATCTCAGAAAAAAGAACGTCTGAATGCTCTGAGCTTTCTTTGTCATCTTTGAACTCCCCTGTGAATTCACTCGCAGGGAATCAGACCAAAAGCCAAAACAGAATAGCTATGCATAGCTATGCATAGCTGTTGACATGAGGTGCTTGGAGCATATGTCCACAATGGTCTCCTTGGCGAATACCAGGCTCAGCCACATAAAGAGACCCCCTGGCAAGGCCCTGGGAAGACGGGGGACCACGTTGAACACCACGAAGAGGCAACAGGTGGAGCTGAGGATCAGGCCAACCTTGGATACCAATGAAAACCCATTGGATCCCATTGGAATGGGAGAATGATGATTTCACCAACAAAGATGGTGATTTAATGTGATTTTTCATGGTACTTTAATGAGAAATCATGGGATTTTATAGCCAAAACAGCAAACATGGCTAACTCCACGAAGTCAATGGACTGTTTGTTGGGACTGTTTCGTGGGGAAGTCCCCCAAAAAACCAAGGCACTCCAATCACCTTACTGCGACCACCAAGGCGATGGCAGGTCACGTTTAAGGAACAAAGGATGTAGCAGGGAAAGCCGCCGCCACCTCAGCTGTGTCGTTTTTCGCCCTGGACTGTGTCGAAGAGCCAAGGGTTTTCCATTGCCAGTCAGTCGAATTTCCCTTGAAAAATCTATGGCATACTTTGGCAAATGACCTGTTCTACTGGAAGCCCTCAAGTTTGGGAAAGAAAATCATGAACAAGTGTTCTGTCTGTATGTACCATGTTTGTTGCTTCACCCCGTGGAACTAACTCAATGGCCATGTCACAGAGGGCACTGATGAGATTGCTCACTCCGATGCTCCGAAGCTCTTTGTCTAAGCTGAATTCTCGTTCGGTCAACAGTTCCACCGCCTTCAAATCCATCAACCTGAGCAGCGATAACCCAGGTCGATGGGTTTCTTCATGGCGCAATGGTGATAGATCCCCAAACACAGGCAGAAAATTACACCGGCATAGACCCCAGATAGAAAAGGTTGGAACTGATGGTTCCCAACGTGGGAACCAAAGGTTACCCAACCTGCAAACCAGAGGTTACCATTGCAAGGAATTGCCGGTTCCCAGAAGTTAGTTTTCGAAGCTAAGCGGCTTTCATTGTAAGGAATTGCGGGTTCCCAAAGTTTGAAACTCATGGTTCCAGACCTGAAAAAGCACACGTTACCAGTGGAAGGATCTGTTGATTGCAAAAAGTTAGACCTCATGGTTCTTAATGTTGTTTTGTTTTGTTTACTGAGCCGGTAACAGAACCCTGCACAGCACCTTTGCCAGACTTCGCCACTGCAGTCTGGACAGCACCCTGCACAGCACCCTGCACAGCACCTTTGCCACCGCAGTCTGCACAGCACCCTGCACAGCACCCTCCACAGCACCCTGCACAGCACCCTGCACAGCACCCTGCACCTGCACAGCACCTTTGCCAGACTTCGCCACCGCAGTCTGGACAGCCCTGCACAGCACCCTGCACAGCACCCTGCACAGCACCTTTGCCAGACTTCGCAACCGCAGTCTGGACAGCCCTGCACAGCACCCTGCACAGCACCCTGCACAGCACCCTGCACAGCACCTTTGCCAGACTTCGCCACCGCACTCTGGACAACACCCTGCACAGCACCCTGCACAGTACCTTTGCCAGACTTCGCCACCGCAGTCTGCACCCTGCACAGCACCCTGCACAGCACCCTGCACAGCACCCTGCACAGCACCCTGCACAGCACCCTGCACAGCACCCTGCACAGCACCCTGCTCAAAAGTTCGCCACCGAAGACCCCACCTTTGAGAAGTAAGAACCCCTATAGCTTGCCAGCTATCTGGGGAAAAATGGAAAGCTGAACCCGCCAAGCGCAACAAATTCACCAAAAAGTTCGAGAAATTCACCAAATCCACAGCCATTCCCTTCCGTGCCATTCCCGGCCGCCCAGGCGCATCAACAAGGACGCGGAAGCCGCGATGCCCACCATGGCAGGCATGATCTCAAGGATCACCATCCAGTCGATGCGGAAGAGCGCGGACCTGTAGGCGTCCGCCACCTGCAGGTACCTGTGGAGTCAGCAAAATCAGCGCTTTAACCCGGAAAAGTGAGGGATTTGACAAGGAGCTGGAGACTCATGCAGTAAAGAATGGTGGTAATTTTGACCAACCTGAGGGCTATGTAAAAGAACGGATCCAGTTGAGGGCACTGATTAATCCAACCCGAACCCTAAACCGATTTGTGCCATCTGCGGCAAGAAATCATCCCCAGGAATGGATATGGTCAAAGTCCAAAATGATGGCAATGATGGCTCAAGATCTATCAAGTTGTAGCATTTGCCGATCACAAAGACAGACAATTACTTGGATTAGCCTATAGTAGGTAGCTTGTCAAAAAGACTGAAGGTGAGTATCTACTTCAAGCTGGTTGTCCAAAAATACCCAACATCAAAGAGCTATGGAAATCGGGGACCACCTGAGGCTCATACACTGATTATGCATAAATCTCTGTCAACGAGGTGGGATCCTGCAAGTCATCCATGGTGCCAAAACCCTGGTCTCCTGGTGAATCTCCCCAAAAAATGTGAATCTACCCTGCTTTGGGTGGTTGGGTGGGTGCTTATTGTTGACGCATCCCCAAAAAAACCGGTTGACACGGCTGAAGGGCCAAGTCTCCAGACTGCACTCGCTGTTTGTTGGCGCTGGAAACACCAGCCCTTCTCTTGCAGCTCGCTGAGCGGAATGAGCTTCAAGAGATCCAAACAGGTAGGAATCATGCCAACCAGCAGCAAACCTGGGGGCTCTGTTTGCTCCAAAAGACTCAATCTGTCTCTTCTGGATGGGGAGATCTTTGATCTAAAGTTCAAGGTTGAGCAGCTGAAAACTGCCAAACCTGCCAAAATTCCTAGCGGGTTACCGCCCTAACGTCTACATCTTCAAACTGAACAGAATACCATGGCAAAACCACAAGCATCCCCAATTACTTCCCAGAAATGGTACTGTAGGTTTTCTAAGAGATTCTAAGAATCGGTTAATGCTGCACAAGGAAATAGGACCTTCCGCCATGATTTGGCATGTCACAATATCACCCATAAGAAACCAAGGAGCTTAGAGAAATGACAACGGGCGAATGGATTGCCTCTGCAAAACAACGTTTGCAGTTTCAGCGGAGGATGTGCAGCTTGCAATACACCCATAGAATAAATGTTTCCTGATAAGGAAACCATCACCTCTTGGATGTTTTCCTATTTGAGGAGCAACTGAGGGTGCAAATCTGCAAATTCGCCGACTGTACAAGGTTCCATGACTCTAATTTATGACCCGCTGTAAGCCCGCTGTCAGAAGGGAAGAAAAACAACTCCAGGGATTGTCCCAGTTCCTATGATATCAGGGCATGATGAGCTCCAAACAGCTGGCTGGACCAAATTCTCAACCATGTAGAGGTATGGTAAATCATGCCAAGCAAGAGTATTCGCAATAATACACCCCAATTTGGGTACTATCATTGTGGATCCCACGTGTACAGCCCCGTTTTAGTGTTTCCCCAAAAGAAAACTGTTGACGATCAGAATATCCTGCGTTTTGATCATCTATTTTAGTCGCCGGCGAACCCATTCCAGTTCGGGCGGTTCTTTGGAGCCACGTTTCCCTCGGAAAACCTCGCCTCATCCATGGCAAAGAGCGTGAGCCCCAGCAGCACCGCTGGAGCCCACAGCTGCCAGGTCGCGCTGAGGGAGCGGGTGCTATCACCAGTGGCGACCGTCAAACAGCTGGACATCAGAAAGAGCGCCACCCCAAACAGAGCACCTGACGGGTTGTTAGGGGGGTAAAATGGCTAGATATAGGGGTAAAATGACCTATTAAACCCCTACAATGTGGATATCACCTATAAGGAGTTGGAGCAAGTCATTGGAGGGTGGAAGGCCACACCTGTTCAGAAGGTTGATCCATATGGCGTCACGAAAGGTTCAGTCAGATGTGGTACATGCATCATCTTTGGAGGACTGATTTCTAAAGAATTCAATCTGGGGCTAAGCCAATGGAATTTGATTCAGAAAAAAAATGCCAATTTAGACCAATCCGTGTTAAACGATCTCACCACACTTTTCAACCACAGTTTGGTCCGTTTGGCCTCGATCTGTCATTTTCTGGAAACCCTTCAGCCAAAAAAAAATCCAGAAGTGGTAGATCTATCCCCCAAATTATGGCACTAATTGGGAAGATTGGTTTCCAATCCACCGGATATCTTAGGCTGTGCCGTTGAGTGTTTCCCCCAGCCTTTGAGAACAATCAACGGCACAGCACGAAGATAGCTGGCCAGGCCCAGGCGTGTGCCAATCAGCAGCCCCGCACCGATGGTCAAGGTACATACCTTGGTCCGGGGCTGGCATGTTAACTGTGTTGTAGCAGGTTAAAACCATACCCCAACTGGATGTTTGTTGGTTAAATACGGTTTAATCCCCATGTTTGATTGTTTGATATTGTTTGATGGTTATTATCCCATTGTATCCCATGTAATGCTAGTGAAGCAATAATCCATATATTTTGATGGTTTCTACCACCCATCAAAATGGCTAAATTGGGGATGGTTTGCTATTGTTTTACTAACACTACCCCAACTGGAGTTTCGCCTGGGAAGTCATGAAACTGCAGCGGCGCGTCCTTTGGTTTCCTTGTGAAAAAGGTGCACCGACCTTTGGTGGGAACTTCCACTTCCCTAACTCGCATTACAACTTCGTCATTGGGGATTGTAATCATTATAATCCTGACTTCTGATTCTGCGCCCAACAGTCTGTATATGACCCTACCACGGTACTATCTGGATTACAACCCCCAACCCCTCACCTGACACTGCCACGGCCTGACATGAAATTGATCCCAGGAGCAAAGCAACTGGCCAGGCAGGTCGCCTGTAGCTGCTCTGCATCTGCTTCAGGCATCTTGGCAGCGATATTCAAAAACGTGGAGTGCATCATGGGAATCATCTCCTCGGAATTGCAGGAAGCCAACTGTATCACCAGCAACATCTTGACATTGAGACGATGTGGATATGGGCCGGTAATGGCCAGTATGTGGGTATCAGTCCAATTTTGACTCATAGCAAAAATGGAAAAACTCATCCAAGTGAGTGTGGTAAATGTACCTCTCAACCCTTTCCCAAAGACGGCCCAACCTTGCCGGACAATGCCACTGAAACATGGCTCAGTTCCCTACCCCGTCTCCAAGCTGCCAGCATGGGGCAGGAGATGCCATTCTGCACATTGGACACCAGCACCATACCAATCTGGGCGCCAATGGTACTCATAATCCAAATCACCGTGCCATTGGGCGCTGTGGCGGTGAATGGAGTTGCGAAGAGCAAGGTACCTGGGGGGGCCTGGGTTGGGCAGTGGTCGGCTGAGCCGAAGGGATCCCATTTCGAGACATGATATGCCAGTACGTAAATATCAGAATATATATATATATAAATATATAAATATATAAATATATATAAATATATATAAATATATATAAATATATATAAATATATATAAATATATAAATATATATATATATAAATATATATAAATATATATAAATATATATAAATATATATAAATATATATAAATATATATAAATATATATAAATATATATAAATATATATAAATACATATAAATATATATAAATATATATAAATATATATAATATATATAGCTGCTCAAGCGCCTCTTTCACTCCTGCCATATTCTGGGTTTGTCCTCTCTGCGTAGCACGTGTGTGCCTCGCTACCACTTCCTCCCAGCTTTTCCCGGGGGGGTAGGGTTTGGGTCAGCTTGAGCGCCAGTCATTCATTGTTGCATTCTCAGCTGCATCCAGCTGCTCAAGCGCCTCTTTCACTCCTGCCATATTCTGGGCTTGTCCTCTCTGCGTAGCACGTGTGTGCCTCGCTACCACTTCTTCCCAGCTTTTCCCAACATTTCCATCTGCTTCATTCTGTTGAAAAAAAATAATGCCAGGATTCCGCCGGAACTTTCGCCTTGACTAGCACCTGCATGCGTGCTAGAAGACCAGGAAAGGCTGAGGCTAAGGCCAGCACTCGAGCCTTCAACGCACTGGGGAGTTGAGGAAAATAAACTGTAGCAGCTATCTCCTGAAGGTAAACTTCCATGGTCCTTGGTGCAATCCAACGACCCCTTCTTCTCACCAGCTCTGAGTCTTCTGTCAGCATTAAAAGGTATGTTGCTCCTCCTCCGCGGAGGGAGCCTAGGTCAAGGCCTCTGTTGATGCCATTTGAATCATATGGCAGCCCAATCTCACGAAGGATTTGTCGGAACCTCGTTCGCAGCAGCTGTCCGGAAAAAGGCCAAAGCTTTTCATCAGCGCGCTTTGATCCAAATGCCAGTGACACCAGTTGAACCAGATCTTCCGGATCAAGTTTCGACATCTGATGCCTCGCAGCTTTGAAACGTGTTTTTGGTTCTTTGACCCTCAGGAAAATGGAACAACTAGTGTAACCCACATCCTGAGGCAGCACAAGGTCACGTCTGCAAGATTGTAGCACCTCTCCAATGCGACAAATTGCACCCCACGATAAGGCTATCGATCCAGCAACCCATGGCCAGCCCCATAGGATGCTCACCGACAGAATTGCCAGAAGAATCTGAAACGGACATGCCAGGTGATGGCCCCCTGGCTCTTCTCGTTGCCAGCTAAAAGCCAGATCCCAAGCACCCGTCAGAAGCCGCCGAATCGTGGGTTTCGCAGCAGCCACCGCGTTGACCGTCTCCACATAGTGGTTGTATGGTCTGCCTGATGCATACAACTCCCGTCCATAGCTGACTAGCTGTGTCACCATCTTTTCGGGCTCTCTGTATGACAGTTCCAACAGCGAAGGAAAATTCTCGCCTTTGCCAGCCAACCATTCCGCAAAGCACTCCAGTAACCGCTCGCGGTTTGTCCGAGTAACCTGCTCGACAGGTCTTCCACTTTGCAACGGTCGCGACATGCGTTTGGCAGCTCTTGCAAGGTCATCTTTGTTGCGGACCAGATTTCCATGGCTCACTGGGGCTACAGCGACGCTACTAAGCAAAATCCACACTACGAAAAATAGGGGACTACACCTAGGACCCTCGCCAGGGAAACCGAGAGAGGCATCAAAGTCCAAGAGATGCTGATAGAGATAAGCAGGAGGCAGGCTAGAGCTTTGGCGGTGGTGAGGCAAGCTCAAGGCAGCAAAAGGGAGATGGTGTTTGGCCATAAGTCCAAGGCACAAGGAAATCCAATTGCTTGCCCATGTCTTCATGGTTGGTAGCTCTGCTGCTCTAAAAACCTCCTCCTCTGACATCTGGTCAAACCATGATGATCCTTCATACCTGTCACGAACTCTAACATTTCTTGTAGGATCATCAGCAACATTCAAGCGTGTTGGCAGGAAATGAACAGCCAGCATCATGTGAAATGCAAAGGAAATTGCCATGATCTTTCGGAGAAGTGGGATCAGGGCTGCTGCTGAAGATCGCCCTTTGGCGGTGGCTCTTGCTGAAACATGAGAGTCCATCAGCAAACTCACTCTCCCGCCTCCCTTTCTCGCAGCTTGTTTGACTGCTTGAAAAACGCTGGCTAACTCCAGAACGTTGATGTGGGATTTTCCTTTCCATGTCCAACATGAGGTTGTTTTCCAGTCTGACCTTTTTGTCACCTCATTGACAAGAGGAGATTCAAGACCGCCTACCTCGACATGCTGCTCTCGCCTCAATCTCTTCTCAAACCTCAAATGAGCTGCAAACAACTCTGCAATTGCTTCTGCAAGCCCAGGCGTGTAAATTGCTGATCCTTTCGTGAGGGAGCCCTGAATCCTAACATGCTTGTGGTCTCGCGTACATGGCTTGCACAAAGACGAGGTACGCATGTTGCATGATAAAAATCTGAACTCCTTCTGAAAAACCGACCCATATGCGCAGGAAGAAGTGTAGGTCTCTTCAATGCCAAACAAAGTCAACAGAAACCTCCAAGCTTTCAACCAAGCCATCTTTGACCTGCGAGGAGTTTCCAAAAGACCAAAAATCTCCGCCCTCAAAGCCACAAGGAGCAGGATCAAACATGCAAAAGCAAGCCTGTTCCCAAACCACACTTTCGGAAGCTTTCTGTTGTAACCCTGGGGAACTGCGTATGACCTCACCGAAGGATAAGCAGCAGCTGAAAAGGTTGTGCAGGGAGGCTCCAAACAAATGCCCTTCACTCGATGATTCTGGATGAGAAAAATCAACCATTCAACGACCTCCCACTTGACCAGGTCGTACTGTGGGGAGTAGCTGATATCAATGATGGGCCCAACTGTAAAACCTCTTCTGTGCATTGCTTCTGACACAACCCCAGATCCTCCGCAGACTTCAATAAAATCAAAGTACTGTGCAAGAGGCCGGGACACTGTTGCTCCCGTCTTTTGTGGCTCCTCTGCAAAGGTTGCTGTTGCATGGTCCTCTGCAATCTCCTCTCGCTCCAAATCATCGCGAGCGCTTTCTCTGACAAGCTGGTGCTGCCAGGTCTCTAGGTCAACATGACCACCTCTGAAATCCCCTGCTTGCCAAAGTGGTTCTTGCACAGGAGGTTCTAGAGGTGCAACACACACAGCCCCTTTTGCCATAGAGGCATCTGTCGCGTAGAGCCAAGAGTGAAATGGCATCTTCACATCGCTCACAATGATGGGGAGCAGCACCGCAGCTAATGCCAACTCCTCAGCTGCTGCCCTCTTGAGAGGACGTAGTTTCGGCCTGCTGACATCAAGCTCTGTGGCCGGGATCACCTTAAACAGCTCGACCAGCACGGACATCGAACATTTTCTGAAGCAAAAAGATGACACCAACGCACCCAAAAGAGATGAGTGCAAACCATCTGTAGTGCAAGGATATCTACAAGCCATAGCTGCAATCCAGGACAAGGCCAAGCGCTTTGAAGCCGGAGCCCCAACTGGCAAGACTCCACATTGCACATTTTGAGGTCTTGAATCTATCTCTGCTCCAACAACTGTCGCAACATGCTCATCAATGATGTCCTTCTGATCAGAACCTTTCAAACCTTCTCGAAGGTAGACCTTCTTTGCTGCATCAAAGCATCTCCGTGCTTCGCTGGGCTCATCCCGTTTTTCAAGAGAAGAGACAGGAGCAGGGGCTATAGCAAAGTAATCATCAATGACCAGGCCTTCATAGACAGGAGAGGATCGTATCAACTTCTTCGAAAGCAGCCTTCCCTTGTCCTGCAAAAGACCACTGGCCTGCAACAACCCCGCATGAGCACTGATCCCTATCTCAACTCCAAGATGATCCCCCTGCAGCACTGCCTTAAAAGCACCAAAAACAGGTTCATCATGACCAAGGCCAAAACGCATCGGCCTCACACCGTCCAACTCATCTCCATGAACTGTGCGGTCAACCTTCTGTCGCGTCTTGGCTTTCTGCAAATAAGCCTTGTATGCTTGAAACTCCAAAAACTTGCCCAAAGGAAAAGGATGCCAAACAACATTTGCTCTGCTCCTCTCGCTGCTTACTGCTAGCTGATGGTAATAGTCTGATCTGTCAGTAATACAAACCTTCAATCCCATGCCTGCAGGTACAGCAAGACGCCCGATCATGGTGCCTAAGGGTAATGCTGCCGATGGTCCTGGGATACGGCCTTCCCAGGCATTGCGCTCTCGACGGTCTCTAATCTGTCTATCGCATTCGGCTGACTTGTAGTTGTTGAAAATCTTCACCCTACCTGACTCTCCAGTAGTTACAGTTCACACCGGATGAAGCTCAAGCAGCCCCAAGGAATCCCATTTTTGAAACAGCCGGAACACCGTCTCTGGAGGGTCTACCAAAAAATTCGGAGTACCCCTGGACATAATTGGCTTCTCCAGCTCGATGGACTGAGGCTCCTGAAAGGGCATGTAGAACTCCGGTTCCAAAAACTGAAATGCCTCCCAATTGGCTCTGCCCGTCAGTTTCAATCTGTCAGGATTCAAATTTGAAAAGGGGTTGAGCTGAGGATGAAGACTGTTGTCAGGATGAACCACCGCCGGCTTGATGTCCTCATGGTATGGGCTCGACGAAAGACCCAATGCATCTGCTGCCAATGCGAGCTCTTGAAGGCGCGCCATTAACTGCAATTTTTTTCGACCACTTGAAGCCACTTGGATGGGCTTACCATGATCACACGCTTTGATGAGCAGCCGCAAACGCTCCATGGCTTCTGTCTGAAGCCGGTTTGGCTGCCTCCTGAGCAACTCCAACGGTGGGCAAGCACGTGATGAATAACAAAAATTCAATGCACAAATCACCACATGTAATGCTCTGTTGACTGCCGTCTCATACGAGCTGTCTTGTGTTGCTGACCCAGGGCATCCTGCAAACGCTTTCCCATCAGGAATTGGCAAGGGAAACAAAGCGGTAGGGGGGGCAGAAGGCCCGTCCCGATGAAGGCAAAGAGTGGACCCGAGGAATCGGCCGAAGCTTGTTCGTGAGGCCAAAATCCAACGGGTCAATGACATGCACCATGTTTTGAAGGAAAAACTGAAAGCTGGAAGTTCTGCTCCGGTCGGTACTTCACCTCCTTCTTGCCCAGACCCTTCAGATGAATTCCCAGCCAAAGTCTCTTGAAGCTGATAATCAAATTTTTTGGCTCCAAAACCACATCTACGTTTCAGTTGTGGATGTAGGGGCCTCTGTACTTGCTGCGGCATCGCTCTAACTCTGCCACCTTCGAACTGTAGTTTGTCACCACCTCCTCCACCAATCCCAGGGTCCAGTGGGTCCGGAGCTTTCGAGTAACAGCGGTCACTTGGACTTGAACCTACTCCCTCCTTTCCCACTGAACCCAAGGATTGAGTCATGTCTCCGTACTGGAGGCTGCTTGGTTCTGATTGGCTGCATGGTTTCCCTTTCCACCTTTTCCTGGCTTCCTCTTGGGCGCTGGTTTTGCTGAAGGCGCATCGTCGGTTGCGGTCTTCTGATTGCCCAGCATCTCGGACTTCTTGGAGGTCAATAGGTCCGCCTCTTTGAGATACGCCAGAGCAGTGGTGGTCCAGGTCTGTGGCGCCATAGGTGCAAAAGGCCTCTTGGACCCCGTTGCCGTCTGGCCTCTGTTGATCCACAAATTTTGAGGCGGATCGTCCAAAAGGCGGAGGAGCCAAGCCAACTGCCATCTGTTGTTGTCCACGGCAGCCTGCTCCACCATGACCACCGTTAACGCCAAGTGGTCCTTGGCGAGGTCCGTGTCTCCCTTTGCCATTGCATCGAAGACGTGACCTAGTGACCATTGCACCATGCCAAGCTCTCTGTTTTGACCATAGCCCCCATACCTTTCTAGGTAGGCCAACAGCGACACATCGCCAGTCTCTGTAAGATTTGCTGCCAACTTCGACGTAGGGGACATCCTGCGTTGAATGCTTTGACACACCTTGACAAAGAACTGTCCTGAACCTTGTGCCAGTTCCCTCTGCATGCGCTCTCTTGCCGCAGTGCCCTTTACGCCCATTGTGGGAGTGGAAGAGGAAAGGTCTGCAAAAGGATCGGAACCAGCCACGTGGAAGTGAGATACAAGCATTGCCAGCGCTTTGCTCTGTTCCAACAGTGCTTTGGCAACTGGAGAAACATCTCGGTCCGCCTCCATCTCGTCCACTGGTTCCCAAGGTTCGCCATCCAGATTCGAAGGGCCCACAGCAGCTGGCATAATAGGTGCGAGCCCCTTTGTCTTCGGCGGGGGTCCCACCAGCCCAGCCAAGGAACTTGTTGGCCTTAATGGTGGACGGGCCAGCATTGAAGAGATGGGCATAGAAGCTTTCCCAGGTGCCATTGCCCTGAAACCCTCTGCAGTCGACGGAGCCGGAGGAGTTCCCATTTGCTTTTGGATGACTGCTTGCTGAGTAGCCAGATTTGTCAACTGATCTGTAATCATTGGGAGCGCACTCATGACCACCTCCAACTGCTGAGCCAAACCTGCAACTGTCGGCTTCTTCTGACCCTGCTTTGCGCCACTTGGAGCTTTTCCTGGCTCGGTAGTGCCACCAGGATTGGTTCCGGGCCCTCTTGCTCGAGTCCTGGTCTTGGGAGTGCTTTCTGCTTCTACAATCTCCGCTTCGTCTGCAGTGTAAAAGTCTGACCTTTCTCCCAAGTCGGTGTCTATCCAAAGACGGACCTGAGAGAGCAGATCTTGAAAATCTGGATGAGCACCTGGATCTGATACCTGAAACAAATTCATAAGGTCGAACTCCAAATCTTCTCCCATGGGTTGTAAAAGTCCTCCCACCCCGGGGAGGCTCATATCTAAAACCCTCACTGCAGCCAAACCTTCGCCAATGACCAAACTTCCCATTTCGCCTGTCACCCACATTGGCACTTGAAAAACTCTGGAAGGACCAACCAAAGGCTCGGTACCATCTTCTGTTGAAACCCATGCTGCAAAACTCTCTTCCTCGATGACTCCATCTGGAACGGCGACCAAGACTCCCCCTGGCCGTCTCATAAGTATGAAAGCTTGCATCTGATGCTGAAGAGCGCCAGCATCGGGAGGCCAAAGCAAGACCACCTCTGTCGGATCTTGACCTCCATGCTCCACTCCAAGATTCATTGCCACCGATGAGGGGCTGGCAAAGGCACTCCTGCTCCTGCGCAATACACCTCAGCCTCGGCCAAGGACGGGAAGCCGTGGCACAATGTTGTGTCGGACAGCCGTCCGGTAATACGGTACAGGTCTGAAGCTGACCCCACCCTTGTAGGCTCTGACAAACCTGGTGCTGCCAGGATGATGTACACCGTGGGGCGAAGATCAATGGGCAATGACTGTCTGGGTTTCTCCAGACGCCCTGCTCGTACAAGAGATGCCCAATATCCTGACTCCCAAGCACGTCTCGCTCGGTAGTCTGAGGAGTAAGACCCTCCCCGCAGCTTTGCACACAGGCCCAGTAGACGCCCAGGACAATCAGGAAGCCTCTCAGCAAAAGAATTGTAATCCCCAAAGGCAATGTGGCTATTTTGGCCTGATCCACCTGCTGTCCCACTTGTTGGCTCTGATGCCTCTTCCTCCTCCGCAATGAGCTCCCACTCAGCTCCTGTTTTGCCGCCGTTTTTCCCCTCAATAGCCAAAGTAAGCCTATTGAGAGCCTGAACCAGCCTGTCCACGGCAGGGTCAGGATTGCTCATAAAGAGCAGGGCGATAACCCTGAAGCCGACTCCTCAAGTTTGATGCAGCTTGCTGGGCAAGGATGACAGGAGAAGGTGACAGGGTAAGCGGTGGAGATTGGTGAAGCCAAATCCAAAGGCAAAGCAGGAGGACAATTCCACAGAGAAATCCAAGGATGAAGGCACAGAGGATAGCAGGGATGGAGGACCCTTGACAGTGGGCTGGGCAGCCTAGTCCCCAGAAGTTGGTGGCCAAAGCGTCCCTGGCGAGGGTACCCAGCTGACTCACTACAGCTAGATTCATTCAGCTTGAGCGCCAGTCATTCATTGTTGCATTCTCAGCTGCATCCATATTATTATATTATATCCTGTACTATATTAAATAGATTTGTATATATATATATATATATATCTATATATATAATTATATATATATATGATAGTCCAAACGCGCTTTGCTCTTCCAAAGCAGTTGGATCAAGTTCTCGCACTCTGCAAGACTTGTTGTACAAGACCTTGCAGGAGAGGCACCCAAACGGTGCCTGGAACAGAAAATCTTGACGATATTGCTGCATTGCTTCACAAAAGCCCGTGAGGTTTGACCCATAGGACTAAGCGAGATGGAAACATCGCATTCTTGGGGACTTTGGACCTCAAGAAGCTTGCAACAGACTCAAACTGCCCAGCTTCCCCCGTCTCTGACCTTCAGTAGCTAGTGACTCTGGGTGTGCCCTTTAAAGCTTTCCAGACAAGGGAAAATCGAATCACTATATATATAAGTTTTGGAGAATGTTCCATTCCATTGGTTGGACAGTCTCGGGTCTGTAAAGGTACAAATGCTTAGAGGCTTCTTCGAAGCAAACAAATGACATTTGACCTGATTGTGACCTGATGCTATTTACGCAGTGTCACTGTGATGTCACTGTGCTGCAAACCATGTTGCTAGCATGTTCCATGGGTGACACGGGTCATCGGTTCTTGGCCGCTGGCCGAGACTGATTCGGCTCTAAATCGCATAGGCGGTCTGTACATGCTGCTCTTCGTCAACTCCAGTCTCTTCCGTTTTCTGTGTGATTCGAATCTGTCCCAGAAGCCTCAGGCTGACTCAGGGTCAGGTGTCAGGGAGGCGTCTTGAGTGTACTTGCAGGTCATGAACATGAACAAAAAAAAGACACACAACAGCAAAGAACAAAGCTCAAGTATCCCAAATCCCTTTTGCTCTTTGTACATAGTGTAATTTTAATTCTTTGTACTTTCCGATCTTGTGGCCCTCTTGGCAGACCAACAAAGCTGCACTAAAAAGAAAGCCTTCAGGTATCTCAGGTTTTTCTGTTCACCTCAAGGTTTCCTTACTACAAACATCTCCAAACTCTGTGCAGAACCTTCCCGCTTGGCTCGTTTGTAAGCATCAAACAATCTACCATTTTGTGCAGTTTGTGGTGCTAGTCCCACAATAAGCCATCCAAAGGACCAGGATGGTTGTTCGCAGAAAGACATCAAGCACTTTGGGAAGAAACAGGATTCTGACTACCTACCATGTAAGGGTTCCAACAATTGGTATGTATTATGTATCAGTTTTGGGATGTCTGATGCGTCTATTGGATTTCAATTTTGCACTGTCAGTGTTGCAACCAGTCGATCTTCAAAATAATTATCGCCATGGCTCGACAAGATGATGAACACAATCATAGAACAAGCCAACACCCATGCCACGATGACCAGCAAACACACCAGCTGTGCCAATAAAGCAGTTCCAAAGAGATCCTCTTCACAAACTCCTGCGCCTGAGCCTGCCGAGACCTGGAGCACGAAATGCGAAAATGCGAACACAATTCAGCTGCACCAAAGATCCAACACGGGGAGGAAATTTATGGGTACCCAGTGGCAGACTTTCACAAATCATGCAAACGACTTCTTTGGAACTCTTTGAAGTTCCAGTCGGAAACCATGTACCTTCTTGTCTCTTCCTTTCCTGGCTCAATGGGACCAGAAAATTTGCCTCCCAACATCTCCTGACTCCTGACTTAGCCGTATCATGTCTGTTTTCTGCCACGCCTGTCAGGTTTCTGTGGAGGGGTGTTGGAGGAGGGTGTAACAGCGTCCTGCTGCCTTGCGTTCATTCCAACACGCTCTTGATGCTACTCTGTAACATCTTTCTCAAGTAACACCAAAAGACTCATGAATGGCTTTGGGAATGAAGGCACTTGGAATGGCAGGCGTGGAGAAAAAGAAAGCATCTTTCCATATCAGAGAAACATTGTGGAGACGCGCGTTTACAGAGGACTGCAAAGGACTGCGCATTGTTTTGGGCCAACTTGAGTGCCTGTGCACCAGGAGTCTAAAAGCAAGCACATCGTCCAAATCCTACGTGCCTCAGGTCATCGTGCTCAAAAACTTGTTCAGGCGCCACCTTCAATCCCAATTAGGCATTTCTAATCATTTATATATATATCTATTTTCATCTATTTTGACTCTTCAAGGTAATGGCGAAGCTAGCATAGAGTGACGCATTGCTTTCAATCGGATGGCAGGTAGAAATAACGGGGAGGGGCAGCAGCTTAGTTCACCCTGCAATTATGTGACAATCAGTGGACTTGCACAGCGTGCATGTCCTAGAATCTCTTGCACCTTCAATTCATACTGAGTCAGAATGGATGACTGATTCTCCGAAGAGCCAATTTTCATGAAACGTTTTTTTTTCGAGCTACCACCCTTCGACAAAGTATGGTCCTCTTTTGGTTGGCATCTGCAATCTTTCAATCTCGTCTAGAATACCAGGTACTTGCTCAATACTTGCTATGGACAGCGGGATGAACATGCATAGCCGGCCATACTTTTGTGAAAGCCATCCAGGTGCATTTGATCAACAGAACTTGGATGCCTGTGTGCTGGGGTACACATGTGCTAAAAATGCTGTGGGCTACAGATCCAAAAACCAAACACGACTGTTGCTACACAGTGACAACACTAGTCTTCAGTCCTTGCAGTTCCAACCATTGCTTCCATGGAAATGGTTCTCTGAATGGCCCCAGTCAAAGAGCACTGCAGCAAGACCGCCCCAGAAGCCGCATGCACCATGCACTGAGCTAGCATCCAACGGGTCGTCGATCCTTGGATTCCGCGCAACTTCCGCACTCCCTGTGACTCTGCTTCGTCTTCCGCGCACTAAGGTAGGTCATCAAGAGTAATATGGACAACAAATCCTGGTTAATCTATGCCAACCAAGTTTTTGCATGCAGAAGATGTGTTTTTGCTTCGATGTTGATTCTGTTTCAGAGCCGACAAACAATAACCCAGCGGGAAGCTTCTCGAGAAGAATGAAGCACGCGTGCAGCAATGTGTGTATGCATGTATGCGTGCGTTGGTAAGCATGGATGCGTGGATACAGGTATGCATGTATGGATTATCGAACGAAGTTTAGAAGTCAAGCTTCCGACAATATGGACAAATGAAAAGCAGAGATGGGAAGAGTCAGAGAAGAGAAGAGAAGAAGAAAGAAGATCACAAAAGAGAAAGTCTCAGAAGAAAGAAGATCCAGGCGCGCGAAAAGGTAGGAAAGTCGGAAAAGTGCACGCCGTTGTGGCGCGAGGCGCATTTGCAAGTGAAAAAGCTAAAAACAGCTCACGTTCGGAGCACTTTTTGAAGTTGAGATGTCGAAAAAGTGCACAGCGTTGTGGCACTTCTAAGTCAAAATGTACAAAACACACCATGTTCGGACCACTTTTGGAAGTTGCGATGTCGAATCGAAAAAGTGCACGCCGTTATGGCGCAAAGCACATTTCGAAGTCAAAATGTACAAAACACACCATGTTCGGACCACTTTTGGAAGTTGCGATGTCGAAAAAGTGCACGGCGTTGTGGCGCGAAGCACATTTCGAAGTCAAAATGTTGAAAACACCACTTGCTCGGACCACTTTTGGTCGTTCTGATGTCGTTTCGCGTGGCAGGCGCACGGGATTGTGCACCTTGTCAAGAGTGAGCAAAACGTGAGGGTTTTGTGGCATTTTCAAAAACGATGGCAAGCGTGGGACATTTGAAGAGGATCTGCAAAAATGCATTTTCCGTGGCAGGCACAGTACAAGAGACATGTTCATCAGAGCTGATAGGAGGTCCGGGCGCTGATTTCCTGGGAGTGGTTGCATTTTGGAGCATCAGATCTTCAGGTTTGCTGAGGTGATTCTGCGTGACAGGTGCAGCACTTCGTATGACCCGGTATCACTTTTTCGTGGCAGGCGCAGTAGCTTAGACAGGCTGAGTCGAAAAATCGCAAAACGGATTGGCATAGGGCCGTCAGCTCTGCACTCAACTTTTCATTTTTGAAGGAAATCTCGCCGAATTGCTTCGTTTTTGATGTTGTCAACTCAAAAAAATGAGGAAGTCTCGCAGAATTGCTTCGTTTTTGATGTCGTCAAGTGCAAAAATTGAGGAAGTCTCGCTGAATTGCTGCGTTTTTGGTGTTGTCAAGTTCAAGAACTGAGGATGTCTCGCAGAATAGCTTCGTTTTCCAAGCTTGCAGATAGATAGAGACGACAGACAGACAGACAGACAGACAGACAGACAGACAGACAGACAGACAGAGAGAGAGAGAGAGAGATAGAGAGGGAGATAGATAGATAGATAGATAGATAGATAGCTAGCTAGCTAGCTAGCTAGATTGATAGATAGATAGATAGATAGATTAGGTAGTCAGATAGGTAGGTAGATAGATAGACAATTACAACTACAACAACAACAACAACAACAACTACCACTACACTACACTACACAACAGCTACAACTACAAATATACTACGCTACATTACACTACACTAATTACATCTAGTTACACTAAACTACACCACACTACACTACACCACAACAGCAATTACAACAACAACTACTACCACAACTACAACTACAATTACAACTACACTATATACTCTACACTAATTAGACCGCAGCACGCTACAACTACAAAAACAACTACAACTACACCCACACTACATCAGACAACACTACACTACACTGATTACATTGCATTACACTACAACTGCAACTACAACTGCAGCTGCAACTGCCACTACAACGACAACTACCACTACATTACACTACACTTAAGACGTTCAAAACTAGCGAGAAGCCCAAAATCAAGGATTATTTTTTTAATAGCGTTTATGATTTTTTTATGAATTCAATATATGGTTTTTTAATGAATTAAATTTACTGGTATATTTCATTTATGTTGTTTTTATGATTTCTGGTTTCAACATATGTGTTTGCTGCATTTTGCAACACTTGGAGGCTGGAACCTTGCCAAAACCCTTGGAAACCATAAAGAAATCATTAAAAAATAAAAAATCATTAAAAAAAACATAAATTTTATATAAAAATTATGATTTTTTATGTTTCCACCTGGTTTCCTGCCAAAACCTTCCAAAACTAGCAAAAACTGCTGGAACTCCATCATTTTGCTTGGTGAAACCTTGAAAAACTAAGGAAAACCATTGGTTTTGCTGCATGTTGCACCACTTGGAGGCTGGAACCTTGCCAAAACCCTTGGAACCCATCAAAAAATCATTAAAAAAACGCTAAAAAATCATTAAAAAAAACATAAATTTTATATAAAAATTATGATGCTTTTATGATTTCCACCTGGGTTCCTGCCAAAACCTTCCAAAACTAGCAAAAACTGCTGGAATTCCATCATTTTGCTTGGTGAAACCTTGAAAAACTAAGGAAAACCATTGATTTTGCTGCATTTTGCACCACTTGGAGGCTGGAACCTTGCCAAAACCCTTGGAACCCATCAAAAAATCATTAAAAACTCATTTTAAAAAAACATAAATTGCATTCATAAAAATATCATTAAAAAAATATTTTTTGAAACCATAGCTCTGTCGCTGACGCGAACGTCCTAACACTACACTACATATACTACACTACACTACACCACATTACATTACACTACACTACACTAATTACACTGCACTACACTACGCCTACAACTACAACTACAGCTACAACTACAACTACCACTACACTACACTACACTACACATACTACACTACACTACACTAATTACACCGCACTACGCTACAACAACAACTACACTACACTACACTAGGAACACGGCCTTTAGAAGGCCGTAGTGTTTTTGTGATCAACGAGGTGTCATGGATGATGTTTGATGTGGTCGTGCCAATAGGATTTTGTTTGATGTGTTTTTAAAGGCGAGAAACCCCTTATTCTGGTGCATAAAATAAAAAACAAGCATTTCGCCAAGGCGAAACTATCATTTTTGATGTTTCTCAGAACTCCCCAACTAATTCGACCTGTAATGGTTTGATATGAGTTTAAAGGCCAGAAACCCCTTATTCTGGTTCATGAAATCAAAAAACAAGCATTTCGCCTAGGCCAGACCACTTTTTTTTGTATTTCCACATGTTATGTCATGATGAAAATGGCACAGCCTGCCAGATGACCTTGCAACCGACCTGGATTTCCACATGCAACCTTGTCACGTATAAAGTCTAATTCCTATACGCGCACAAGTCCAGAGAACTTACAGGAGCGTAGCATGACGTATCAGTTAAAGTACCGGAAAACTTACAGGAGCGTAGCATGACGTATCAGTGAAAAGCACCAGAGAACTTACAGGAGTGTAGCATGACGTATCAGTGAAAAGCACCGGAGAACTTACAGGAGCGTAGCATGACGTATCAGTGAAAAGCACCAGAAAACTTACAGGAGCGTAGCATGACGTATCAGGTAAAAGTACCGGAAAACTTACAGGAGCGTAGCATGACGTATCAGTGAAAAGCACCAGAGAACTTACACGTGCGTAGCATGACGTATCAGTTAAAAGTACCCGAAAACTTACAGGAGCGTAGCATGACGTATCAGTGAAAAGCACCGGAAAACTTACAGGAGGGTAGCATGACTGTATCAGTTAAAAGTACCGGAAAACTTACAGGAGCGTAGCATGAACGTACCAGTGAAAAGCCACCAGAGAAACTTCAGTAGTGTAGCAAGACGTATCATGTGAAAGCACCGGAGAAAGAACTTACAGGAGCGTAGCATGACGTATCAGTTAAAGTACCGGAAAACTTACAGGAGCGTAGCATGACGTATCAGTGAAAAGCACCAGAGAACTTACAGGAGTGTAGCATGACGTATCAGTGAAAAGCACCGGAGAACTTACAGGAGCGTAGCATGACGTATCAGTGAAAAGCACCAGAAAACTTACAGGAGCGTAGCATGACGTATCAGGTAAAAGTACCGGAAAACTTACAGGAGCGTAGCATGACGTATCAGTGAAAAGCACCAGAGAACTTACACGTGCGTAGCATGACGTATCAGTTAAAAGTACCCGAAAACTTACAGGAGCGTAGCATGACGTATCAGTGAAAAGCACCGGAGAACTTACAAGAGCGTAGCATGACGTATCAATTAAAAGTACCCGAGAACTTACAGGAGGGTAGCATGACGTATCAGTGAAAAACACCAGAGAACTTACAGGTGCGTAGCATGACGACTCTACTTACCCAGCAAGTTCACATGAACGTTTATACCTGCCCCACCCCACCCCACCCCACCCATGTCTGCACGCACATACCGGCACACACAGAGACGACTCTACTTACCCAGCAAGTTCACATGAACGTTAATACATGCCCCACCCCACCCCACCCCAACCCCCCGATGTGCACGAAACACCACGGCCTTCTAAAGGCCGTGCTCCCACTAATTACTCTACATTACAGCTACAGCTCCACGACACTACACTACAACTACAGCTACAACTGCAACTACAACTGCAACTGCGCTACACCACACTACATCCAGCAGTTGTGGTAAGGTGACCACTGCAACCATTGCAACCACTCCAAGAAACACAACTCCAACCACGTGTCGGTCCATCAGTGGATTCGCTCTGCCATCCGTGATTCACAACAACCAACCTCTCCTATAGGTTTCCTATTTTTGAAACGCCACCGCCTTGTGCGGTATTACTGGTATGGAGAAAGATGTATGCATGTATCTGTATGGCATGTATGTGTGCATATGTACCATCATACAAGACATTGCTGCAAGGGCAACAGTATTGTCGTTGATGGAGCCAAATTATCCTGCTTGCAGGCAAGGGTCTGGAACTTGATCAGGAGCATGGAAAATGCTTGGTAGACCTTGACATATTTAAAATCACTGAATTATCTGAATTGCTTGATGGACAAGCAAAACACATGTAGACCATGTAGGAAAACATGTAGGAAATAAGAGAAGGCAGCGAAGGCACCATCCTCCGTACGAGTTCTGCCGAGTTCTCAATTCTCTCACTGGGATCTCTCCTAGTTCACGATATTTCACGATCAACCGTTAACTGTTCTTCTCGCCTCTGAGGCTTTCCTGTGATTTCCCAGATCCGGCCATGCCAGCTCAACAGATTTGGAAAAGGCTGATCAATGTATATCACCTTCTCAGCATTGTTAAACCGGCAAGCGTACAGTTTCAATCACTCTGAACGATTGACAATTGTTTGTTCAAAAGGAATGGGCCCGCAAAGCAGCAGAAAAAGATATTGCCTCGGGAAGGATACACAATATGACAAACCTGGCTTCGAACAAAAAATTACGGCTGAAGCAAATGTTTGCAGACGCACCCGCCAATGAAGCACGCAAGAATGGCACTGGAGCAAGTCATGTTTCCACATCCAGCAGTTATTGAGACCAAGCCAGCCTTAGGGGGGCATACAAGGACTGCTTCCATGAAATGGAGGCAGCAGCGTGAATCTACCACAAGAACATACAAGGACCCTTCTCTTCTGGCTGAAAATTCATGTGTTAAAATCTCTGGCGTGTGGACTCAGTCAAATACTCCAGCTCAAAGTGACGCAATATCCAGCTGGGGACAAGTTTTTTCTGATGCCGTAATTTCCCCGGACTTGGCTTGGTAAATTTCCACAAGTCGTGATTTAAAAAAACCGTGTGTTCTTCTTTGTTTTTCTTCATTACCCCCCCTTTGATTGTTTGTTTTCCTGTTAGCTTGCTCGTAATTGCAAGTACAGCAAAGTGAGTTCATTCAGCCGAGGAGCCAAGATGCCATTGCACAAGCCGCACACATCATATTTTCTCGATATTACCTTGGTTGTTTGCAATGGCCTTGAACCTCCTGCAGTCACCTGCAGATTGATGAAAATCGGCAAAGAAGCAAACTGGACTTTTCCGTGATATTCCACTGGCACCACTGGTCTGTTTGCACACTCCCTTCAATGAGGAGATAAAGATTCGCAGTGCCCAGTGCTGCATAATCCTTCACGGCTACATTGCAGTGAGAAGAGCATGGCCTTTGTGTCCCTGCAGCGGTGTGAGTTCCCTCATGCCTCTGGTATGTCTGACCGCGCAATTGGATTCCATGAGTGACTATAGTGGCCGATAATTAGAGTGGACCTAGAGTAGCCTAGATTTGCCTACAATGGCCTACGAGTCAAGAGTGGCCTGTTGTGTGTGTGTAGTGGCCTATAGAAGCCTAAAGTGGCCTATAGTGCCTACAGTCGCCTAAAATCACCTAGAGTGGTGCAAAGTGGCCTAGAGTGCCCTATAGTGGTCTAGAGTTGCTTACGGCCCATAGTGCCCCATAGGCCAAGAGTGGCGGCTGCGGCCTTGTTCCTGTAGCTTTGACACAAGACTTTGCCAACTTTGCCAAAGCTACTAAACGAAGCAGGAAGACGGTGAGGCCACCAGAGGATCCTCCAGAGTCTTCATGCAAATTACTTCGAAGTCAGAGAGAAGCGCAACGTACTGCAGATTGCAAAGGATGCAAATCCTATTGCAACAGATTGTACTTTTTGAAGACTCTAACTGAAGATCTGATCAAGATCCAAGAACTTGGACCTGGACTTATCATTTGGCTCTTCTCCAAAGTATTCTTTGGCGGCTCATCCAACATCCTAATAGCATCCACATTGTTCCCTCTCTCCTGCCAGAACAGTGTTCATTGCCACTTGGGCGGCTAGTGCAGCAGAATCCTTGCTGTGAAGTGATAAGGTCGAGCCAGCGTTGAATCCCAGCCAGCCAAACCTTGGCAGCCAAGGGCAAGGGCCAAGGGCAAGGGTTTCAAATGTTCCAATTTTCGGATTTGGAGCTAAACTCTTCAATGACGTGTGACGTCCTTGTACACAGAATGATACAGGAGCCGAGATTGAGTCCAAGTGGCCACAAGATCAGCGTTCCCAACACAACTAGAGGCAAGCTGTGTGGCTCAAAGGCTTTTGGATCCTCAAAACGACCTTTCCGAGGCCCCAAAACAATAACTCCGCTCAAAGCACCAATGCCACCGGTCATGTGGACCACCATGGATCCAGCGAAGTCTGTGAATCCAACACCTTGGGCTCAGAACAGCCCCGTGCAGGATATGTTCAAGTGAGAGGCCTCTGAGAGGCCTCTGAGAGAGACAAGATATCAGCGTTAACCAATGACAAAGCGGAAGTCCCGTGTCCACAACCAACGGTGGTGAATGCATGTGATGACGTAAGTGGGTTTTGAACCTACTTATCTGTAAAGCCCAGGGTGCAAACGCTGGCCGAGGGTGCCATTTTCCCACCTCCCCAAAACTTGGCCATTCACTACAGGGTTGTGTGTGTTTTTTTCGCGTTTGCTGGCGCTGTGTTGATGGTAACTGGTTGTTACCTGATCAACAAAAACCTAGTATTTCGGAGTGTTCTTGCGTGCTGACACTGTTGATTGTTGTGGAGAAATCTAATAAGCATTCACACCAGTCACACCAGCGTCTTTTTTGGTTTTTTTTTAACACCATCAACTACAGCAGTCTTTGCTCTCTCAAGCACCATGTCACGCATGCTACTATCCGAGCAAAAGACAGACCTGCTGCCTTGCTCGTTTGAATGCAGGTTGTCAAAGATGTTCTTTGAATGACACGGCGTCACTGGCATCACTGTCCATTGTTAGCTCAGCCAAAGTCAGCCGTGCCTTGAAAGGTGGAAAGCCAACCACCACCCCAGGTCCATGCCACCACACAGGGGTAGATGATGGATGTCATCAGCAAGGAATACCACATATAGCTGCCTTGCTCGACAAAGGCTCGACAAGGATGTGGGTCAACAAAATTAGTGGTAGATCCGAGCACTTTTAAAGAAACTCTGAGTATTGAGTGTATTTCCCTACTATCCAATTTTTGCAGGCTATAAACTCAAAAGTTACACAACACTGTTCCTCCGAAACGGTAGGGTGGTCGCGCCCTAGCACCATCGCATCAAATAGGTTTCTTCAATTTGCACAATGTGAGAGCACTAGCTTTAAAATTACTCTTCCTACCAAAATCGCGCCTGTCTTGGCTCTTTCTGCAACTCCACCACTGACAATGGTGACACAAGTTGTGCAAAAGATCCACTGGAAAAAGCATTGGACGAGCCGGCTTACACAACCTGGGCTCTCGTGCAGAATGGATCTGGCAAAACCTGAACATCCCTCAAGATGCACAGGCCACAATTCACTCAGCATTTCAAAGTCTCATTTTCAAAAGGGAATCAACGGAATCAAAGCTTGCGGTGTCAGCTTGCATGCATGGAAAATCTACGAAAATCTCTCCAGGCAAAAAAATTGTAAAGCAGGCAACTGCCATCTGCGCAGCTCTGACCTGCACTGATACCCTTGTCATTGGCTAGCAGGAAATCGGAACCAGCAAAGCCTGTCCTGGGTACTGCGTGGGCATCATGCGTGAAAGTTAGAGATGATGGCAACTCAGGAACAATTTTTCAAGCGTCCCTTGGCTTAAGGGGACGGTTTCATGGCAACTGTAGGTTAGTGTTGGTGTGGACATGCTCAAGAATGTTGCCTTACGTAAGGGTGAGGATGATTATGCATACATATATATATATATATATATGTATATATATATATATATATGTATATATAATATGTATGTATTTATGTATTTATGTATATATATATATGCATATATATATATATGTGTGTATTTATGTGCAAATATATATATATGTGTATATGAAAATATATATATATATGTGGTCCTGTGTCTTGTGTTCACGCCCCCCCTCCCCCACATATGATATGGGGGTTGCCTCCCCCACCCTCCCACCCCCCACCCACATCCACAGCGAGGGAAGGGATACGTACACATATGCATAGACACGTACATATACATACTGTATACATTTGCACATATACATACTACATACGTATACACACGCATACGTATATATATATACTACTTACATATATACTTATATATATATATATATATATCACCTCAAGCATCTGTTTTCTGTCCAGTGCTGCGCGTTGTCAAAAGCTGGTGGTGAGAAGGAGCAGGCTGCATTGCTTTTATCCACGCGCGTCTCTTTGCAGCGCTGGAGATTGTATGGCTCTGCAGCATGTTGAGCACCATCCACCAGAGAAATCTTCCCAAAACTTCCATCCGTAACGTTCGTCTCTTTTACACTTGGGAGAGTACATGCCAAGCCCGAAGGGGAAAATTGGCACGAAGAAAAGTTTCTGCTTTGCAAACTACCCCAGTAAAGGAGTTGGCAACAGTGAAGACAGTCACCCTGCCTTACCTGAAACTTTTTTGAGGTACACGGAAGCACCTTCTTCCTGGACAAAATGTCCATAATCATCCTATTTGCCCATCTCCCTCTACGCTGGAGTAGAACACCTTTCTCCAGTGTTTTGATCAAGGCATGTTTCTGTGTCAGCTCTGATTGAAGCCAGTTCCAAAGGTTGTGCACCAGTGATTGGAGACAGCGGCAATTCCATCAAGATTTGGCAAAATCTGTAATGCAGGAAATTGCCACTCATCGGCCATAGCTTCTGATGTATTCCAAAGGTCCCAAAACATCTCTAGGAATCGCACCATATGAGGCAGGTCTTTCTTGACAAACAGCGCCTTGCAGCTGAGAATCAAGTCTTAGGGTACCTTGTAGATAGCAAGCCAAAGGGTAAAGTCATGTCTCCATCAGAAGGTAAAAATAGGTCGGCACGGATCGCCGATCGCCGCTCGCAGCTCTCCAGCCCGTGGTTGCCTAGCCCAATCAAGGCGATCACGCCTGCAAAATGATCCCGCCCCCAAGTGATGGAGGTGGAAATGGCCAATGCAACAGAGCCCAGCATGGCAACTGAATGGCATGAAGGTTCATGCCGATTCCAAAAATAGCCAAAATCACATGCCCCTTCAGGAGTCTGCGGAGAGCAGGGCGCCAGTTTGTTACAGCAGTTATCGATTCAGCATACTTGCGCAGTTCTTCCCACAGTCATACCAGCTCTTCCAAAGCGCACCAACACCAGGTCTATGTCACCAAAGGACTGCTGATGACATCCAAGCATGCCAAGCAGGTCCAGCCCTAGAAATGTGCTCCTGATAAAGATTTTTTCCAGCAGCTTCTCACTTCTGTGCTGGGATGCAAGCTGTACCGGTCTTCCAAGGGACTGGCAATCTCAAAATCCTCTATGTAGCCATTGACTTCTCCCCAGGGGTGCAAGGACATATTGGCATGGCTCTACCCCCCGACTACAGCAGGCAAAACCACCGACGGAAATCCACAGCACCGAGGTTAGGGGAGCACACAAGGCACGCACCCGGCAACAGACACCAGTAATCCAGAGAGAGAAGGAGAAGGCTGATGCATGATGAAAAACCACAACAGAGAGCAAGGCACATGCCGGGAAAGGCTTGATGGAGCGAAGCACGAAAATGTTGGAGCTGGGAATACTGAAAATCGACCAAAGGCCTTTTACTTGGAAAACTGAGGTTTGCATCAAAATCAAACTGCTGGCCTGCATTACCACTCGCCTGCAAAGCAGGAGAATTGACTGACGAAAAAATCACCCGTCATGGAAATGCAAAGTAGCTGATCCTAGCATGCGCAAAGCAAAACGCGGCCCATCTCCTGTTTTCAGCAGCAGTGACAAAAGAAAAATGGGGGAGGGGCCGTCAACATCCCATTCCTCCATGCCAAAAGAACCGTAAATTGGACGGATCTCAGTGTCTCTAGCCGGGTTACTTGATGTGTTCCAGCGTGACGGGGCAAAACGGCAAGTCAGGTGAATTGCAGCTGCTACGGCTGTAGCTCCCCAAAAAACCATCACGTAGGTGGCAAAGGCTTCTGTAAGTGAACCCTCATCCTTCTCGGCCAAAAAGTAGGGTATCCACTCCACTGCATGAGCCATAAAGTCATACTCGAGAGATGCCAATGTCCAGAGGAGGGACGCAAATGCTTCTCCAGACACAAAGATGCAGCTCTGAACAGCTATGCAACTGCTTCTCATTGAAGAGCAATGGAGATAGCCTCGTCTGCACGCAAGTAGAGGCACTTTGCTCCCCCGGCTCAAGCCACTGCTCCAAGACCGCCTCGGAAGCAGAAGAGTCCACGAGGAGCGGCCCCTATACTGCCGCACCCAGTAAAACTGTATTCTTGTGTAGAGAGATCCCTCACAGCGGAACTCTAAGCAAACAACGCCCCTGTGTAAAATGGTCTAGGTTTCCCAGATCCCAGCCAGAAGAAGCCAATCGCTCTAAACAGCACAGAGAAATGCAGCATACAGTGACGAAAGAAACAACCCCGGCCAAGTGGTAGAGGATGAAAAGGACACCCACCTCCTATATCTTGCTAAACACATGACTGTGCGCTGTTCTTGTTGCCTAAGGTCACGGGCACTACGGTGGTTGCAATGCATAGAACCTGGCCAAGGAGGTACACCACATCACGCCCCGCAGGCACAGAGAAGCACCAGACGATTCTCTCCTCCAGCAAACAATAACTCAAATGCCACTGCGTGTGTGCCGCTGATGCAAAATGTTGCCCCCGCGCGGCTAAGCCTGCATATACTCAGACTATCGACGTCATGCGATGGAAATTGAAATCTGAACCAAAAAATGCAGCACCCAGTTTGGCCAAAAGGGAGGTACACGTAGGGCGAGGCTTGCCGCCGACCAAAAAAGCATTGCCGCGGTTGCGTAGCAATCAGAGACCTCCACCAATAAACGACTGGCCAATGGCTATCGAACAGTCCGAGGAGGTATACTACCCTCAGATAGAGGCTCGGCCGGTACAGGCCGGTAAATCCAGCGCCTGGAGTATTGCCCGTTATCAAGCCCACAGACCACAGAAGGCAAAAAGGATGAGTGTAGGCCATGATAGGGCCACTTGAGAGCCAACTGTAGGATCTCAAAGACGCATACCACATACTGCTCCTACAGAGAAAAAGATTGAACATAGCTGCAAAGTTCCCAGTAGTGAGGGCCAACGCAACGCCTACCAAGCCACTCTCAAATTTGCAGACGCACCTCCTTGAGCTGGATTTTTTTTCGACAGCCCACAAAAAACGTGCAAAAAATTCAGTTTTTTCGGCCTGGCTTCCTCACGAAAGAATCCGCCACACCGTCCGACCTAATCAAAGAAGCCACCTGAGCAGTTGGACAAGGGTGTTTCACGGTGGCTCCCTCCTCAAAGATTCATCCAAGATCCATCGACCGCCACAAACCATAACTCACCGCAATGCAAATAAAAAACAGTATGGTGGGATGTACCACTCGCCATCTGGCGGCGAGAATCCAGAGGGCATCCTATCGTGGACGCTTGTAAAACATCAAGACAAGGAAAGAAGGTCGGTGTCGGAGCCCCCCGTCAAGAAGACTCCGAAGCAACTGGATTGAAAACGACGAAGAGCTGGAATGGAGTAATAGACTTCATAGGCCACGACAAAGCTGCACAACAGATGACTTGATCTCAGCATGTCTCCTCCACACGCTCTGAGTCACAAAAATGCACTGTCCAAATTGAGGCTGAAGAGCTGGAAAGGAGTAATGGACTTAATAGACTTCAGAGGCCAACGACTAAGTAGCACAACATAAGACGTGATCTCTGCATGTCTCCTCCATACACTCTGAGTCACCAAAGAACAAAAATGCACTGTACCCAATTTAGGCTTGCGAAGAACACCAGATCAGCTTCTGAACAAATAAAGAACTCGATCCTCTGCAGAAACCACACCGGCGAACTTCAGCCACTCCGAATTCAAAAAGGTTTTGGCCTCATCACCAGCTCTACGACCCATCACGTTTCTTCAGCGGCAGCATATGCCTCTGAGGGAGGCGCGGCCCTCGTAATTGGCTTGCAACGGTAATGGCTCAAAACTCTGGCTTGCAAAGGGGGAGCCGCTCAAACTCTTCCAGAAAGCCCAGGGCCACACCCGCCCTGCAGGGCGGAACAAGGAGCAAGGGGACCTGCCCGCTGCAAACATATTTGGCACCCAATGAGTAAAGAGCCATTGGGGCGGCTCCTCCATCAGCCACGAAAGATAAGCCACTACACAAGTCCTGAAGGCAAGTTCGCCCTGCATCCTTCCTCTCTGGCCACGCCTTCCGCAGAAGGGCCAGAACCCGAGGAGTCTGCCTCCAAGAAGAGCTCTGTCATTTGGTCTCCTCCTGTAAGAAGTGCAGGTAATTGAGTCAGGACAGGACTTTGTAGAAAAGTGACCAAAACCAGCTGACCTTCTCTGCCCACCTCACAGGATCCTCGCACAGAAAATACCAAAACCAGGGCGGTGGGTATGTCACCCACAGCCATCAGTCTGCTGCGAAGGGAAGACCACATAGACCAGCTATTATCTTCGAGGCTGAACCCTCTGTAAGGCTTGCAAGCAAATAAAAAGGGGTATAGGCCCCCAGCAAATCAAATGCAAAGCCAAGGCAAGATTGCCCGAGCCCCCTGAAGCATAGCCAATTCACAGGAGCGATCCCTGTTGCGCCATGACGAGTTTCAACTGCTGCCGTAGTGAGCACCACAGCGAGGCCAAGGTAGCCAAGTGGTTTCTGCTACTATTATAGTAGCTGCGGATCTCATTGGCGACGGGCTAGAGGATAGGGCCTGCTCCTCACGAGCCACATAGAAACCAGATCTCTCATGAGCTGTCGTCTCCATCCATCAACTGACTGGCGAACTTATTGCAGGTCGCGGCATTGCGCAGAGTACATCACCATACAAAAAGAAGGGGGGCGAAGGTCTCTGCGAAAAAAGTCACCACCCAGCTGGTTGCCTTCTGGCGCCCAAGCCTGTCAGGCCAAGGTGGGTAAGACCACAGCCCTGTTGCTATGGCCACTTCCCAGTCAGGTCTGGGCGGGTAAGACCAGGACCCTGCCCAGTCACCTGACCCTCTATGCCACTGCCTCCAATTCAGTAGCAGTGAATACACTACACCCAATACTAGATCATCAAGAAGACAGCGGCGCATGAGTCCAATGCACCATATCAGTCTCCTCATCAACCATCAATTGTGCACCAAATTCATGAACTGGACCAAGTAGACCCAGGCCACCACTAAGCATGGCATGCAAGAACAAGTTTCCGGGGAGGAGCATGACGGCTGACGCAAAAAGCACCCCACCCAGTCTTGATAATATTGGCAAGGCATAGGCCTGCTATGAAGTGGCCCCTTCCTTCAAAAGTGGGGAGGGCAAGGTCCAACCCTGTAGAAAAGGGTCGCCATTCTACGCAACTTTCACCAAGGGCTCGTCCATCTCTCCAGCTGTGGGACAAGTATCCCAACACCGGCGCAGAAGATGGAAAGCTCTGTCAGCGAAGGAAAGCCCTGCCAATTGCAATCGTTCTTACCAGCGATGGCCACGCTCAGGCACTTCCTCGAAGTAAGGCGTCGGTAGATGGAAGGGTTGTATATGCCTGTAGCAAACAATCCAGTGCAGAAGGTCCTCCTCTGACTCACAAAGCGGCTTGTCAAAGAAGGAATCGTTTGTAAGGGCGACTTGTGCACAAAGGCCACTCTCAAATGCCTTCTGAACACGCTGGACAACGGAGTCCGGAGAACCTTGAAGAGCTCGAGCAGCAATACGAAAGCACTCCTCAGGTACCTTTGGGGGTCCTCCTTGAGGCCCACGGACCCTCAAAATAACTTGAAGCGCTCGAACTCCTCACCTGATAGTAGATCAGCCAGGGCCTCAGCGAGATCCACCACCTCTCTTTGCAGCCTGTCGGCTTTCTTGGAGAGGGCCCCAAGCTGAGCAACAAGTTCGTTGCTCATCGCAGAACTACTCTCCACCACCTGAGAAGGTTTGAACCCACAGGATGCAAGACAGCAGAGATGGAGGAGCCAGGCGCTGAAAAGATGGCCTGGACTGGACTTGAAGAGGGCGAACAGCAGAGCCCAAGGGTGGATAGATTCCAGAGGGAGCCCCGAGAAAGTCCAAACCCAAGTTTGGCACCCCAGGGGAACTGCAGAGCAGCAGAAAGCACCCCAAGTCCAGCACACCACGGACACCAGCATCCGCAGCGAACCACTCTAGCACCACATGCATGCTCTTGAGGGGAAAAATCAGCCATCGGAGGTAGCAGTCATATAATTATATAACTTACATATATACATATAGGGACCATCACCATCTCCGGGGGAAGGGGGGGACCACCAGACGCTGGGCCCTATCTATATATATAATATATATATATATATATAATATATATATATATAATATATATATAATATATATATAATATATATATATAATATATATAATATATATAATATATATATGTATTATATTATATATATAATATATATATATAATATAATATAATATAATATAACATAATATATATATATAATTATATATAATATATATAATATATATAATATATATAATATATATAATATAATATATATATATTATATATATTATATTATATTATATTATATTATGTTATATTATATTATATATATATATTATATAATATATAATGTATATATATAATATATATATAATATATAATATAATATAATATATATATAATATATAATATATATAATATATAATATATAATATATATATAATATATATAATATAATATATATATAATATAATATATATAATATATAAAATAAAATATAATATAATATAATATATATAATATATATAATATAATATAATATATATATAATATAATATATAATATAATATATTATATATAATATATATAATAAAATAAAATATAATATAATATAATAAAATAAAATATAATATAATATAATATTATATAATTAATATTATATAATATAATATAATATAATATATATAATATAATATAATATAATATAATATAATATATATATATCGGCGGTGTATATATATATACATTACATTGGAGTTATACTGATATGTTTCTGATTACTATTAGTAAAATGATGGTCAAAATGGGACTTGCTCTAGAAATCTTGGACAACATGCTGTGAATAGGTTCTATGGAATTGCGTGCCAAAGTTCAAGGATCCAAGCAAAAAACAAGAAAACCCTAAAAGGCATGAAATGTGCATCATTGCTGTGAAAGCTTCGTTCCCAAGAAGCCACCACGAAGTTCTCCAAATGCGAAAGCCCATCCAAACAACCACCAACCTAGGGTACCGACCTGGGCTGTGCGCCAGATGCACTTTTCCCCTTCAGATTTCGGAACGCTTGCTGGCGTTCTTTTGCAGGAATAATAAAGTTTTCCGAATAGTCCGAATAGTGGACTAGTGAGAAATGTGGACTATCAGGCGATTCCAGTTCTCAAAATAGAGTTTACCAGGATTCGTTGCACTTCAGCCTTCACAAATAAGCAACGCAGAAGCCATACGAGTTTTGAACATCTTAGGTCGAGAGTATGGGTGGCAATCCCAGGGCTTCCAAGAAACGCTGGAAACATCTGGAAACAGCTAAAAAAAAGAATCTTCCCAAGAGAGCGCACTGTCAGGACATGCGCAAAAAACTGATGAATTATAAGTCCAGATCTCCCCTGTATCCGTTGAGTCAGCTTCCAAGCCCACTAAGCTACCAACACACATATTCATCACATTCTTCAAGAGAAGGTTTGAAGCATTGCGTGCTCTGCAGGAGCCTGTGCCCCAAAAGCCCGAGCATATTAGATATGATGTGTCCAAGAACAAGTGCAACACATGGTCCCGCTTCCCAAGAGAGATGTCGTGATAAGCTCATGCACCGGGTGGGTATTGCGCCCTGGGTAAAGCTAACGTAGTCCGCCAGGTCTTGCACTAGTTTTCGGAATGCGCGTGAACTTAAGGTAATATTAGCTAAGTAGACAATGCTTAGCAGCCAAATGGCAAAAACACACACAACAATATGCCGGAGTCACATGCCCAAGACGTGGCAAAATATGGGACTTTCCAGGCCTGTCTCCAACATGGCAAAGCCTGCATGCATCAACGATGCCACGAAACAGCAGCAAAGGATCCAGATCGTGTCCAAGGAGCTTTGGATTTCCTTGTCCTGGCTGTGGGACCCCTTGATCCTCAATCAATCCTCTGCAAATACTGAAGCCATTCTGGTAGTTTGGCCAACAAAATTGTCCAATGTTTTGCCTTGTATGTTGTACAAATGGCACATTGGGAACTCTAGACCACTTAACACAGAAATTTCCGAATACCACTTGCAAGCGAATCAACTGTGTCAATTGTTGCAGGCCCAAGTTTGACACGGCGTGGAGGTTAGAGCGGCAGTACTTGACATTCCACATGTACAGAGCGCACGCGCCGAGTCTGCTTGTCTCACTTGACCAACCTGTCCTGTGCTTTCAAATCTTCCACCTCCCAAAGTGATTCCACAGTGACTCCACTGCGACCCCACAGTTTTGAAATGTTCAAACCTACTTATCCATTGCACATCTTTGTCTTTTGTCTCTTCAAGTTTTCAACGAAAACACACAACTGCAGTGGGTGAATACAACTGAACAATTCTGTATTTGCATGAATGGACTAGGCCTCCAATGATTCCCCATGCACAAAATAGAATCTGAAATAAATGATATATTTGCAATTTTTGTGCAAATTCCCGTTTGCATATACACTGTTTCCCTTTCCACGCAGACATCCAGAGATTATCAAACTGAAATGGCATTGTTTTTGCATGGGTTTGACGCCTTATCTTGCAACAAATATCCATTACCTCACAGTTCCCACCATGGTTCCCACACAGCCTCTGCAAAAAAATAAGAGGAACTAAAAGCTTCATTCTGAAGTTGGCGACCCATGAGAGCTGGTTTCAACTCCTCTCAGGACAAGTAGCTAACATCATTCCAAGGTTCAAAATCATGTGCCTTTCTGCATTTTCCCATGCATTTCAAAATCGCACTTATTTCAGGCATGTTTCCAATCGAAGAGCGCGAAGTTCTTGTTTCAAAGCAGCTAGATCGTCCAACAAGGCATCACCTTCCACATCAACGTCTTGCGCTGATACGGAGAGAGATTGAGCCTACCGCCGAAACTGCAAAATACAAAATACTGACATCGACGCCACGTCGTTTTTTCGTTGGAACAAAAATCCTGAATGACAGCGGAAGTGACAGTAACATTTCACACACAAGCAAACATGATCGATGGTGTATTTTTGAGAAACCCAGTCTGAGATTCCATCAAAAAATGTGCAACTGCATTTGTTTGTCCAATTTCTCTACCTATGTCCATACCAATGCATAGTAGCGAAATTTTGCATTGTCTTTGGATTCCAACAGCCCCGCAAATATCTACAAACAGTCAAAGTCACCGAAGATCAACCAAGGCACTGCAAAGAAAACGGCCCAGCAACCCAACATGGCTGCAAGTTTCAGGAAGGCATATTTGGAACAGTGAATGCTACTGGCAAATACCGTTGGCTTTGCCTTGTTGCAGAATTCAGCGGCATGCACTGTGGTAGACACATGGCAGCACGCCGTCGTCAAATTCTTACAAGTACATCCAAAAAATTGTTTCACCGCAACAATACTGGTCAAAACAGGTGGCAAGGAGGAGTTATGAAACTACGGGAAATTGAAGTGCATACAAATGAAACAACACGAACCAAAGTCCCGAAAACAATTCAATCGGGCGTGCATTGCCCAGGCTCCAAGTAAGAATGGAACGGGAAGGCTGGAAGTATGTTTCCGGTTCCCATCACTGTGGTTGGACCAATCATTTTCATCAGTAGTGCCAGATCGTCGACCAGTACCACTAGCACCATTAGCACCACCACCACCACTAGCACCACTAACACCGTTACTACCACCATACCATCTCTTGTAATATTTCCAGCAACAACCGGGGCATCAACATCACTATGCCACGTCACCTTCATCACCAACACTAGAATAATCACAACCATCCCTACCATCATCACTACTGCTATCACCAATACCTGCACCACCAGCACCACAAGCACCTCCACCACCACCACCACCACCACCATCACCAATAGCGCCAATATCACCATCGCCATCACTTCTTGCAACACACCTCGAATCACCCCGACCATCACCACGACCACCATAATCACCAACATGAGCATGAACATCACCCCTACACCAAACCCATGACCTTCAGCACGCCACCCACCACCACCACCACCACCACCTCCACCACCACCACCACCACCACGTCCACCACCACCACCACCACCACGACGACCACCACCAGCACCCCCACCATCATTATCACCATCACCACTACCACCATCCCCACCGTCGTCACCATCGTCACCATCCCCACCATCACCACAATGAGCAAAAAACGGAAATACCAAAAACAATGTGGGAACGGCCCGCGACAATCAAGGAACTGAAAACATTAGAGTCATCACCATCACCATCACCACCCCCACCAGAGAGTCACCACCCACCGCGGCACCATCATCACCAACAGCACCATTACCAATAAATCATCACCACCACCCCCACCAGCCCGCCACTTTCCAGGACTGCATCATCCAACTACAAAGCACCTTGCGTTTTTTCCCAAGTTGCACATAAGTCATCCTGGCAGGTGGTCTAATGTCCTGCCATCGGCCAAGAAACCCTCTGCATCGCAAGGTCATATGACCTTTGATGCGACTTGTTGGCCCTGGTTGGTGGTCTTCCCATCCACACTTGGCGCAACCTTGCAATTCAAGCTGACATGCCCTACACCATTACACTTGTAGCATCGAATCTTACTCAAACCCGTCGTGCATCCCAGGGCCATGTGCCCCCGTCTAGCACACTTTGAGCATCGGAGATTCCTATCCGTCTCCTCACCCTGGGCAGGAACACCCATCTCGTCAGGTACAACCCCAAAATTTGTTTGACTCCCAAATCTTTGAAACTAGACGAGGGATGGCCCGAGAGCGTAGAGGAACATAGTGAGGGGTATAAGTATGAAGATCTAATAACATGAACTAAAATATAGAAATATGCGATGATACGTAAAATGAGGAGACACGGTGCAAAGATGTTGTGAAAAGTAAGTACATATGAAGAAATTGAAGGAGAAAGAAAAGAAAAACTAAATGAAGGAGACTCAGCAAAAAAAATTGAGACCGACATTCTTACATACAAGCACGATCATACATACAAACATGCCTCACACACAACTGTGATTTTACACACATGTTTTTTTACCGCACCAACACTTTTACACACAATCGTTTTTACGCACAAAAACTGTTACACACAAACACGTTTACACATGGACGTTTTTACAAAGGTTTTTTTACACAGAGACTCTTTTACACACAAACACTTTTATACACAAACACGTTTACACGCAAACCCTTTTACACACAAACTCCTTTACACACAAACACTTTTACACACAACCTTTTGACACAGAAACACTTTTACACACAAACGCTTTACACACAGACCTTTTCGCACACAAATACTTTTACACACAAACACCTTTACACACAATCCTTTTATAGCGACACACTGAAACTTAGAATGCTGACCAGTTTTACAAAATTTTGATTTTTGAATTTAGAATGCCGCCAAAAACTAGGGTTTTTTAGAATGCCGGCCAAGGAATATTCTAAGTTTCAGTGTGCCGATACCCGAACCACAGTATTGCCATACAAAATGCATATTTTAGGTATAAAATGGCATGCTAAGTTCTCTCCGTGCAGCGTGTTTTCCTCCATAAGGGTACCCAAAAAACAGCAAACATAAAAATGACCTTGTTCGAAACACATATGCAACAAAAATTGCATTTCATTCCATATTTACAGGGTTTCGTAAAAATACACGATCCAAGGCACCTCAAGACAGGCATCATTTTTTCCTTCAAAATGTCTCTTAATGTCTCTTATATTTTTCCCCATTAAAGATGGAAAACTCAAAAAAACAGGGGCAACACGTCCCTGCAAAAAAAATAACTTAGAATGCTGGCAAAATTGTCTTTGGTTTTCCATTGTTTTCATTGTTCCTTCTATGGTTTTTCTGTGGTTCTCATTGGTTTTTCCTTAGTTGTTTCTTTGATTATTCTTTGGTTCGCAATAATTGTCATGTGTTGTTTTTTGCTTGTCATTGTTGTTTTCATTTTTTTTGGTTTTTGTTGTCGTTTTTCAGTGGTTTTCATGTTTTTTTCGTTAGTTTTCATTTGTGTTTCAACGATTCCTTTGGTTTTCCTTTGATTTTTTTTATCGTTCATTCATGTTTCTTTAGTTTCCTTGGTTTTATTTTCCAACCGTGTTTCCAGATCGTGCCACGCAAAACACAGCACAGCATTAGAAAAGGTTGACATGTGAAAACAAATAAATTCTGTCTCCCAAGTTCAGTCTCAACATGAGATGCACCGACTGCGCGAAACTGTTTGTTTTCTCTCAGCCAAAAGCGTCTGAATACACTTCTTGATTTGTGCGTGTTGCACCACAAGTGAACATCACTGCTAAATGGCAAACTGACATGTTACATGGCATGAATGCAAGGTGCGTAAATATGTTGCACCCCGCCTCGACATCACCATTTTGGTTGATGTCGCTCACATCTTAAAAAAATGGTAGCTAAGCTCCAAGGGCCATAGCCGCGTGGGGCACTCTTTGGTGTGCCATGACTTGCAGTGCCTCTTTGAGGCTGGCCTCTTGGAAACTGACTGAAAACTCTGATTTCCTTCAAGGTGAATTCCTAGGCTACCCAAGATCCATGTTATCCTTGGGCCTGCCACACTGAAAACTGAAGACTCATCTTTGAAGCGCAGTGTCAGCAAACGTTCTGGCTGACATTGCACAAAATCCTTTTGGATAGAATCATCTCAGCCTTTGAATTGCATCATTCATCGTATGGACCGATGAACTCCGTATAGTGCAGATGTGCCCAGAGATCTGGATCTGAAACTTGATCCTGGGTGGAAGAGTAATATCTTCTGTTAACCTCAGATTCTGTCTCCATACGTTCATCAGAATCTTCCTCTTCTCCATGATCTTCATTTCTCATGAGGGCATCTGCAACTGAGTCCACATGCCTACTTCCAGAACGTCCACGCAACATCATGAAAAAGTTGTGGGCCCTCTGAGCATCTCCCAAAGAAACTGTTTCATTGCCTCTGTAGCTGGGAGACTCTTCATCATCACTGATATCAACCATTTCTGCCATGTTACGCATGGCTGATGCTCTGAAGAGCGGGTTTTCCAAAGCAGCTTGTAGTGCTCGAAGAACTGCAATGCGTTCCACGTATGTGCTTCTTTTTGAAACATCCAAGTTGGGATTCTCAAGACGTCGATTGCATCGCATGATCAGCCACTGGACAAACCCCTCTGGTGTTGGCATATCAGTGGAGCTTCTTGGGACCGCAAAAGAAAGTTGATGCGTGGCATCATCAGGAATGGCACGCAAGGAAACTGTAGTGTCATCGTCCATTGTATTGGGCTCTTGTATATCTTCTGAAACCGGGTCTGCATACGCCATAGCTGGCTCAGCATCTGGTTCTGCCACATCAAGGGGTTGCAGCTGTGGCTGTGGCTGCATCACCCAGAACAACTTGTAAAGCGCAAGAACTGCAAATCCCAGCATCAAGGAGAAAATCACCAAGCTAAGGGAAGGTTCATCAGTGTTGTCACCATCATCAAGATGACAACCTTGAACTTGGTGCAGGCTCAAGACGCTTAGGATGGCTGCGATCTGGCCCACGACATTGCCCTTCTTTTTGAAAATGCCAGCTGGGTCATCAGCGCCTTCGAGGCTTCCAGTCTGGACATTATACATTCCCAAAGTTGACATCAAAGAACGCATCCTTGTGGCTGGTAGGCGTTTTGTTCCCACATCAGCAGGGTTCATGCTACCTGCTATTGAAGACAGCTTGACTGTCCCTGTTTCCACTAGGGCTTGTAGCCAAAGAATTCTGCAAGTTAAATGCCGCAGACGTCCAACTCCACGCCTCTGCAAAATTCCACGGGCACCTGAGCTGTCAGTGTACAACCATATCACTGTGCGTTTTCCAGTCATCCAACTCACAAGGCGACTCAAAAGGATGGCGTCAGAGGTTCCACTTGAACATGCATAGACCTCTGCTTCAGCTGAAGAGAGTGACACCAGCTTTTGAGTGCGGCTGGCAGAAAACAAAAGGCATCCACCCATGAAAATTGTTGCACATGAGATGGACCGTCTGGATCCACGGTCACTTGCCCAGTCACTGTCGGTGAAAACTTCTAAAACGCACTCACCTGGCTCCAAGTTGTCATAGTTGTGATACACTCCAACATTGCGGCCTCGCCATTTGAGAGAGACGCATAGCTCCTGGTGGCTGGCCAAATAGGCCACAAGGTGTCGAAGGACCACCATGCTCTTTTCTGAGGGTCTGGTGCTGTAGGTGGCCAAATAGCGCACAACATGCTGGCAATGAGGCATGTCACATGCCAAGTAAAGAAGCACTCCAACGCACGTTCTGAAAGTGGTTGCCTGAACTTGGGTCAAGTCTTTTGTTTCATCGACTTGATCCATATCTGCGTGTCCAGGCGTTTTCTTGTTCTGCAGCTTGGGGTTGAGCTTGAGTAGATCACAAAGATGCTGCACATGCTTGTGGTGAACTTGAATGGTAAGTCTACCATCATTTTGCATTGTCATAGTGCGCTTCAGGAAGCTAAGCTCATCACCAGGCTTCTCCAAGAACTGAGTGGAGATGGTGTAAGCTTTCTCAAGGCATTTCACCAAACGCTCCATCACAAACTTTCTCTTACCAACAACCAAAATGTCGTCCACATGGATCAAAACAATACAGCTGTTGTCAGGCGTCTTGAGGATACACGGGTATGGCTCATGAACTTCCATGTTCAACTCAGACTTCAAAACTCCTGTGATTGCCTTGTGCCACAACAAACTGCCATCTCTCTGCCCTGGTAAAACCTTGCCCAAGCTGAAATCCCTTGTTTGGCCGTCTGCAAGTTGGCATCTGACCGTTGTGGGTGTTTCTTGGGGAACTGTGAGAAAGGCATCTTTGACATCTATGGATGCCATGATGGCATCTTCTCGGTCTTTGAGATCCAAGTACATCGCAGGCAGTAGTCTTGCCACAATGCTTGAAGAGGCAGGACTGAATAGAGCGTCACGGTCAGGTTGTAGCCAGGCAAACTCACGCGCTACAAAACGTGAACGTCTGAGCCATACTTGTGATCCTGAAACCACCTTTTCTCTCCATGTTCTCACAAACCTGGTTGAAAGAGACTTTGCATCAGCTGGCGCCTCATCTGCGCTTGTCAAGACACCCAAGTTGAAGAGGCGTTTGATCTCAAGGGAATCAGCCAGCGCATCCAGTTCCATCAATTGTTCAGCAGACACATGAGGCTCATGCTTTGTGAATGGAAACGTGAGGCGTTTCATGACTTCTTCATCATCCATCTCATCCGTGTCTAACAACTCATCGTTGTAGAAGTTCATGTCATACTCTTCAAGTCCATCAAGCTCAGAGTCTGCAAAACAAGGTTTGATTTGCTCATCCTCGTGCTCATAGAACTCCAAATTGGTGCTTGTCACTGCACTGATGTTCTGCTGGAAGGTCTCATCAAGCTTTGGAGTTTTGGGCGCATGGTGCCCAACATCTGAATCATCAAGCATAGTGTCATCAACAGGTGTAATTGGCATTGCGTCACCTGTGCGTGCTTTCTTGGGGCTATCACTTGGAGACACTGGATCTTCAGGACGTTTGTGTCCATGTGCGTGGTCAGCATCAATGGGCACTGCTGGAGAAACACTTGAAGCAATGGCATCGGCAGAAGCTTCCATAGCCTGCCCCGCCTGAGTTTCATCCTCGATATCTTCATTGGGGTTTTCTTGAGCATATTTTTGGACCTGTATGGCCTCAACGTCAATCTGCGGTGGCAGTGCTGCTCCAACGCCAAAAGCCAAGGGGTGTGTCACCCTTTTGTTGTGCACCAGCTTGTTGCCCAATGCTGCAAGTCCAAACTCCCATGGATAATTCTCCAAGTCAGCAAAACGGTTGAGATTGAAGGGAATTGGATTCCTTCTGATGGACCTGGTGAGGAAAACACCTTCAGCAGTTCCTACCACATGCATGTCACCAGATGGAATTTTGCCCAACCAAATGCCGTGTCTCCATCTTGGTCCACCTTTGTCCATGGCCAAGTACCCCAAGATGTCCTCTCCAAACATTGCAAGCTTTCCACTGTAGTATCTGTCGTGTGCACGTTCATAGGCTGTTTGCCCACCATGAACAACGTATCTGTCATGAAGCCATCCAGCATGGATCAAGGACCAGCAAAACAAAGGGTGATTGCAACCAAAAATCACACGGCCAGCTGCAACTTTGTCTTCTATTTGCTGGATTAGGAGTCCAGCCTTTTGTCTCAGTACCTGGACTGTCACCTCAGCAGCTCCATTGGCCTGATGGTCATGGACAGGGGCGCCTTCATCATGTATGGTGATGCCCATGTTTCTACATGCACGTTTGACACCATCCACAACAGCAAGGATTGATGGCTCCCTGTCTGATCTGATTGCAAGATCTTTGTGCTGAGTCCCCATCACAAACCGGGTGGTCTCAGTAATCAAATGCTGCAGTGAGCGTCCTCCTTTCTGAGGAGTTGGAATTGCTGCCATCATCTTGGTTGAACGGTCATGAAGAAAGAGGCATGTTTGCTTGTCACTCTCATCTTCCATGCGGCTGCAAAACCCAAAATCCATTGACAAAAGTGAGTGGCCACTGCTTGTATGGTCACTGGCTGGATGTGGATCTTGTCGGCCACGATACTGCACACAAAGAGAGCACCAGGACTGAAAGGGTTCATGAGTCAGACAGTGGTTCTCGATCTCCTGCTGTGAAGGCTCATCTGGTCTGAACTGTCCCACTGGCAAACGTTCTGACTCAGCTCTCAACCTGACTGTGGCACCGTGCGCTGCCATCAAGCTTTGTGCACGTAAGTGGTCCACCATCCTCTTCAAACATTTGGCCTTTCCACCTCGTCCAGAGAGTCCAAGGGAAGTGCAACCAGCTTGAAGGGTTTTCAAATTGCAGTCCATGCTCATTGTGATTCCATCAACGACCGCTGTGTCATCTTCAAAAGGCACAATTCTGTCCTCCTCCAAAGGTTCTCCATCTGGGGCAGTTGGTGGTTCCTCAGCGATGGGGTCTGGTGCAATGCTGGGCTCATAGTCATCCTCATCGGGAATTGCCTGCTCGACAGGCCTGGAGCGGTCATACATGTAAAAACCCAAATCGCTGTCAGGAACTGCATACTTGTGTGCCAGTGTGATGACCTCCAAAACAGTCTCAGGAAAAACAAATTCTTCTTCCAAGTTGTGTCGAAGATCTGCAATTGGTTCACAGTATTCATCCACCTCCCAAGCTGTACCTTCCCTGAACACCAAAGTTGTTCGAAGCCACATCAACTCATCACTGGGTGCAAGTGTTGTATCAACATGTCTTGGCCGTTTCGTTTTGATTGCAAACAGGTGTGGATGAATGCGGTTCCATCCATCTGCAAGACATCTCAAAACCATTCCAAGCTGCACCGCACGTATGGAGGGTTGGTACAGGGCAGATGGTGCCTGTGTCACAACCTGTATGTGGCCCTTGGCACAAAGTGAGTTGTTCCTGAAAAGCACTTCAACTCTGCGCTCATCTTTGACCAAGTATGGTGTGTCACCTTCATGTATGATGTTCCAACCACTTCGAAGCACTGAGCCCAACGCAAGCAATGGTGCCGTAATGTCAGAGATGATGAAACGTTCCTTGAAGACCACATCACCAAAGGCTACATGTGCAATCCTTGAACCTGTCACGTTCAGTGGCATGCCCTGCGCATCAACAAAAGAAGTGCCAGGCATTACGTCCTCAACACCAACCTGACCAAAACGTAAAGGCAGTGCGCTAGTGTCAGCGCCTGAGTCGAGTATGATTTCACATGCCACACCGTGATGAAGATTGCAGTCATCCAAAGTTGAAACAGCTCTGACATGATTGCAAAAAGGGCTAACTGTCCAAGTGCCATCACCATCAGTGGAAGACATGTCAAAAACGCTGGAAACCACACGGATGCTAACTGGGCTACCTGCAGGACTGCTTGGACATGAATGTGAAGTCAAATCTTCAACATGTGGAGCAAACTGAACCAAACGCACTGCTTGTGAGCCAGCACCAGTGCTGACACTTCCAGTGGTTGAGTAGGCAGTGTCCTGTCTTGACTCGTTTCCATCTGATCCAACCAAACGCACCTGCTGTTGCTGCTGGTCAGCCATTTTCTTTCGACATTCTTTAGCCCAATGGCCTGTTTTCCCGCAGTATGCACAAACATTTGAATCCAGCTTTGCACGTTGCTGTGGCTGTCCAGAGTTGTAGCCACCTCCATAACCCTTTTGCTGGCCTTTCTGTCCTTGTCCCTTGCCCTTGCCTTTGTCTGAGTTTTTTCCTTTGCCTTTGCCTTTGTCACTGGAGCCTTTTCCTTTTGACTTGCCCTTGTCGCCTTTTCCTTTCTTGCCTTTTCCCTTTGAGACCATGTTCACTTCCATGGGACCAGGACCAGAGTCTGCAGTAGAAGCGTATGATGTGACTGTCCACAACGACGCAGCACCACACTCCAGAAGCACTCTGTCACGTGACCATGAAGCTGAAACTCTCTCATAGGCCAATACCTTGTCTTTGACCTCTTGGAAGGTAGAACTGTCAGTCATTCCAAGCTGTATGTGCTGCTGTATCTGTTTGGGCAGCACTCTCACAAGCGTTGTGAGAAGGATATCCTCTGACACGTCCTTTCCAGAGGCTTTCCTGTACTCATCTGCCAAGCGCTCTAAGTTGGCAACCTGTTCAATCAGGGACTTCTCCTTCACAAAGTTTGGGAAGCCCATGACTGCTGAAAGGATGGCCATTGATCTCACCTTTGTTCTGGGAGTGAACAAGTTGTGCAACTGACGCCACACTTCCATTCCATTGTTGTTCTGCACTTGGCGCAGAACCTTCAAAGGTCGATTGCGCAGCACCCCTGACAGAATAGCGTAGAGCTTTGTTGACCGGCTTTTTGAGGCAAGGCCCTCAGCTGTGTCTTTGAAACTGACCAAGGAGTCACCGTGCTCCTCTACATATTGCAAATCAGCTGAGTATCCCTCGTCTGCAAAGCAAAGCCACTGTCTAAAACTGAACGCAAAATCTGTCCAGTTGGCGGCATCTTCTGAAGAAGCTGCACTTCCAAATTCCTTTGGAGCCTGGATAGTTTTGCTGGCCTCTGCAAAACCTGAGCTTTTGGGCACCCCCACGGCACGCAGTGCTTGTGCCGCTTCTGCTGCGGCATTGGCAGCCTGCTGTACTGCTTGTATCATAGCCTGTGCTTCAGCCATTGTTGCTGTAGAACACCTGCAGAAAACTTCACGTCAAACTGCAAAGGCTATCACGTTACAACCACAAGGAACCTGTTGATGGCCAAGGCTGCAAATTTGGAAATCACCAGTTCAAAGACTGTAAACCACTGACCAGACGCTGTCTAGTGAAAGGTCCAATCTAACCGGATGTCACCTTTGTACCTCACCAAAACTGAAATCCCGTAAAGCAGCAGTGGCTAAATAGCCAAAGGCCAGGCAGTGGTGCAATGGCTGCAGCAAAGTGCGCACCCAACGCTTTGGCACCCTTGGGACACAGTTCAGTCCCCTGGTGATGACTGGGATTGGGTCCTGTCCACAGTCACCACCAGTTTGGAGCTCACCAGAACCCTTTGGGTGATCTGGATCACAGCTCCGCTACCATGTTTGTTTTCTCTCAGCCAAAAGCGTCTGAATACACTTCTTGATTTGTGCGTGTTGCACCACAAGTGAACATCACTGCTAAATGGCAAACTGACATGTTACATGGCATGAATGCAAGGTGCGTAAATATGTTGCAGAAACGAACTAAACGATCTCGGATTCCATCTTTCGCAAAAAAACAGGCACAAATAAAATCGCCCGTCAAATCAAACAATGCGCGACCAAAATCCGCCAAACGCAATTCTCAAACTTCCAAAAAATAAATAGACTTAAATAGACTTCACTGCAACGTGGCATGTGGCTCAGGATTCTCACTTGGCATCGCTTTTTAAAAACTCGCCTCAAGCTAGGTCGGGGGATGTTCAAGGTGCCATTAACACCCCACATAGGCATTCATCCAGAGAGGCATCCTTCAAGGGCACATTGCCTGAGATCCTTTTCAGCTATCAAAGTTCTGGTGGCGCCAAGCTTGTAACATAGATCAAAGAACATGCGAGAGGGCCCGTCTGCCAGGTTGCTTGAAGTCGGCACACGACTGAAATACGGCTCTTGGAGCGCGCCCCGATGAAGCATCCATTGAGCGTATTTGGATTTTGCACATGCGCTGATCCAGCTATGTCGAGCCCCGTCGTTGTCGATGAAAATCACCAGGTGTCTGTTTTGTAAAATGTCCGCCCAAACCGTCAAGGCCAAACAGTAAGGCAACACCTCCGCCTCGAAAACTAAATTCCTTCGGCGGCCATTGGACCAAGCGTCAGTGACAAAGTCTGGCAGGACCTGACCAAAGAAGCGCATGCCACGGCCTGCACTGTCAAGTAGGACCGCACCGATCGAAGTCACCGATCTGGTGTCACATCCAGCAACTGGTTCCCATGCGCCATCCACGAAGAGAAAAAGAGTGCCTTGGTCTTTCGACCTCACTTCCCGAGGGGAAGACTCAACGATGCGCCTGAGCATCCAAGTCAATCCAAACTTCACGTCAGCTGTAAGCGGTCTGCAAGTCTGACCCTTAAGGGATGGTCCACCTATGGCTCGAAGCGCTAGTTTTGCACTCCGCCCAAAGAGCTGCGCCTCAGCGAACATCAACCGAGATCTGAGGCTCTCGGACGCTTCAGGCGACAGGCTGTCTTCTGACAGGTGCCGTTCAACCAGGGCCCTGAGCTCGGACTTCCTCTTCGCGGTGTTGTCGATCCGCAAGATGCCACGAGACACATCCCGCAAGTCAAATTCCACTCCAAGTGCGGAAAAAACAGGTTTGAATCCCACGTCCTTTTCCGGGTCCTCGGACAGGATCCATCCAAGGGACTTGAAGAAAAATTTTACAGCCATGTCTGTGCTCTCCGCATCCTCTGGGCGTGTCACGCAAACAAAGTCATCAAAGAAGGAGGACCAAATCAAGTAAGCTCCAGCTATGCCTGCCTCTTTCAAGGCTCTGCTCATACGCAAGAAGGCTGCGACCGAGGCAGTGCCGCCAAAGGGCAACCCCTTCATGCGGAAAAGCATCACACGCTTGTGGGTTGTTGACCAAGCAGCTATCCAAGAGAATCTGTAATGGTCCTTGCTCACTCCCAATTGGCGATATGCCTTTTTGAGATCGTAAGTCCTCCCTACCAAATTGCAATGGGAGCCATGAAGCTGCATGCAACGCTTGATCATAGCCGCCACCCCATCAATGGTGTCCACCTGTAAACGCTCAGGCAAACCAACAGTGCTGTTCAGGCCTGACACCGACAAGTTGTCAATGGGTCTGACTTTCGACCCTTGTCTGATGCCAAATCTGGGTGACGCAACATGGCCTTTGAGCAGGCTCTCTACCTCGAAAGGCCCTTCAAGCGTGCCACCCTCAACTTCCGCAAGGGTAGCAGTCCACACCTGCTCGTCCAACTCTGTGTCCGAGGTTGGGCCCACACTTGCTATAGTTCGGGCAGGGTGAGCTGCAGCCATAGTTTCAAAAGCAGAAACATGCAAAGCAGGAGGACGAAGGTTTGCTGCAAAGACACCTGAGCATTTCATCCGTCCAACCAAAGGGAAGCCTGTGCTAGCTTCCAAAGCCACTGAAGCATCCTTGTATCCAATGGCCGTCAACAACTCGTGGAGCAAGCCAAAACTGTATGGCCTCCTCCAAGTTACGCACCAATCTGACACGTTGTAAGTCTGGATGTACCAAGGTGACAGCTTTCGCAACATAGACCAAAGGCTCCACGGGAATCCCAACACGCGCCATAAGGCACTGTGCCTCCCCCTTCTGTTCAGTCCAAACACTCAAGAGGCGTGCGCCTTTAGGAAAAACATTGTTGTCTGGCAAACGCGAAACAGGATTGGCATGTGCCAAGCAGTCATAGGCATCAAAAACCACAACTGTCTCCTGCAAAAAGTCAGTCAGCAACGGTGGAAGCTTGCTTCCACGAGGGAGAGCTCCCAAAAAGGCTCTGTTTGCTTTGTCTTTGACCTGAAGGTGCTTTGTCTGCACATCGCCCAGCGTTTCAGGCGATGGAGACAGTTGTTTGCGTAGTGCAAACTGTTCAATGGCTGCGCCCAGTGTGCACATAGTTCGGAGTTGTATGCACACTCCTCTGCTGTTGCGAATGACCCTGTCTGAGTCAAGCCCCAGGCAGCATGCTGATGGTTGCCAGAGCACTCTCTGGCCAAAGTTCAGGGACGTTAGTCCAAAGAGCCGTCTGCTTTTTCCGAGGCGCTCCAAACATGCATGTGTGAAAAATCACCCCTAAAATGTCACTGCCGAACTCTTGCATCAACTCAACAAAAGGGTCAGTCACTCACATGAGGCTGCCTGCAGGGTTTTCGACTGACCATGCAATCACAGCAAGCTGCAGCTGTTTGATGAAGCGTTTGGTCAAGCGGTACAACCTGTTGGCTAACCGCACTCTCTCTTTTGCAACTGACTTGAGGCTCGGCAAACCCATAGGGTGCCGCAAGCTGCGCAACGGCCTGGGTTCATGTTTCAAACCAAGCCGTATTTGCCTGGCCAAAGAAGCTGTGCCGCAGGGTGGCGCAAAATGCACGTACAGCTATCGCCGTTGCTGCAGCAGTTCTTCCAAAATTTTAAGTTGTGCATCTGAATTCAGATCAATCACCAAGATCGGAAGTCCCTTGACTGCCTTGTGATCAACGGAAAAAACTTGAAATCCTTTGCGTCTGAGTGCGCGTGAAAGCCCTGCCTTACCGCAGAAAACTTCGACAATGAAAACGTCTGCAAATGTCAGAGCATCCTCAATGCTGATGCGCGCAGGGCTTTCCTGCTTTCAGTTGTTGGTGCATTGCGGTAAGGAGTGCTTACCGTGACACTTGATGCACTGATGTGTGCCACGATTGCACTTGTCCACATTGCCATCCTTTGTCACACTGTTGGAACAACCATGCGCCATGTTGAAATTGTAGCAAATCCTCTGCTTTTGCTTGTTCCAGCCACTGTAGCCATGCCAGGCGCCGAGGTGTATAGCTCCAGCAGTGCCAAATCCACAGGGAGCTTGTCATCTTTGTCAGGCCGCAAGTTGGACCTCACTTTGTCTGCCACACGGTCCAAAGCTCTTTGTCTGCTCGAAGAATTGACTCGATTGTGGGACTTCTGAATCCAGGAGGAGGTGTCCTGGTGAGATGCCCCATGAACTCACGAACCACTTTCTCGTGCACTTCATAAGTTGCAAGGTTTGCCATGTCCAATGCCAAACCTCTGCGTACAAAGGCAAGATGGACACGAAGTTCATTGCCCAAATCGGCTGAAAGTTCCGCACCTTTGGGTTTCACCTGAAGTTGCTGGTTTTCCAAGAGGATCACCTGCTTGTCCGTCCTGACGGATTGCAACTCCCGTTCACGAGAAATGCACTTGCTGAGTGGGTAAGTCTTGAGAACTTCTTCTTCCAACATGCCTGCAAAGGCGTCAATGACACAGTGTCCAGGCTCATAGTCGCCTGAAACATCAAAGCCTGTAATCTTGGCTTTCAGTGATTGAAGCCTCTGATCCTTCTCCTGAGGCGGCAACTTCTTAAAAGTTTCGTCAGGGGCTTCAACTCGTTGCTTGATATTGCGGCCACAGCCACTGTCAACGACTCATATGCCAGCTGCTTAAGGCTTGCTTGCACACCCATTGAAGCGCCCCTAGGGCAAACAACATCCACCAAATTTTGAAACCTCTCCGCATCCAGCTGGACGGTTGGCCCTTCATATAGTCTTGACCGTGACTCCACAGAGTTTCCAAAAAAAAAGGTGGTCACGAAACAGCGAACCTGATGCTCCACGAGCAGTCGAAGGCTGCGATGGACGTGGAGCAAGAAGAGTTCGAGGAACCAGGAGCAGCAATGAGGCTCCTGAAGGGTGCTGCAGAGCAGCATGGAGCGAAGATGGAGGAGAAGGAGGAGAAGGAGGAGGAGCATGGCGCATGGGTCTCCAGCAACAACCCCCATGGTATGGAGGAGGCGGAAAACAATGTGGCTGCTGATGGCGATGAGCCACAGGATGCAGATCATCCAGATGGGGATGATGACCATGAGGAAGATCAGCTGGATGATGCGGAGGCTGCAGAGCCCAAGGAAGATGCAGAAGAGGTCCAGGATGAGGAAGAGGTCCCCGGGGACGAGAAT